ATTATTCTACACTCTGAACCTTGTGTACCTGATGCCAACAGCCAACATTAACCCACGCTGCACCAGGGACGCCTCATATTACATAAGAAGCACAAATAACGTCTTGTTTTGTTTGAAGTGACATCAGTCAGTGAAATGATGCCATCATCCCACAAGGCTGATCTCAATATTTCTCCCCAATTCATTCATGCAAATTTAGATCCTTAATACTTTCGAGGTCAAAGTCATCCACATAAAAACAATACAAACAAACCATTGCCAGAGAACTGGAGGATTTACGAGCAGCACTAAAGCTGGATTTACAAGATAGTCGTTCACAACCCTACATGCTGAACTTCTGCAATTGATTTGTACATAACTAGTACGAGTTTTGCTGTGAACTAGCAGAAAAATGTAGTGTATTATTGACAGAATCTTCTGGTAATGCTTTTATACAGTTACTACACCAGGGTCAGAGGAAAGCATCTCCAAACTACAAAGTCACTACACTTTACAGGAAGTTCTGCAACGGGCTTTGAGGCCACTCAAGAACGTTATAAGGCGCTACAGCAAATGCAAGTATGATTAATTAATTAATTAATTCTTACTATTATGCTTTCAGATCAAAGTTTGCAGTCATAAGGCTTTCCCTGGATGGCCTAGTAGATAAAAACACGGGGCAATGTTCGCAATTGACTGCTATGTTTCCCCCATAAAACATACAGTCAATTCACTTTACAGTATATCCTGTGAAGTGCTTTGAGACATCTCAAAGATGTGATAAGGAGCTATATCAAATGCAAGGATTATTATCAGTCGTAGTATTTCTGTGAAGCACTTTGTGACGTCTCAATGGCTGTTCTGGGGACAAGGCAGACATGGTGGCGACACACTTGTGTTATGTGCTCACTCTGGCTGCTGCCTCATGCACTAAATATTAATCCTGGGTTGCATAGCAGCAAAGATCATGAGAGCTACTCACCACATAATGTATAACTCAACGCTAAGCGGCAAATGATAATCCCCGATTAAAAACCAATATAGACTTAGGCAACTCCAGATGATGATAATGTTCATCTTCTGCTGGAGTCACTGGCCCTCTGAGCTCATACAGATGGGGGTCGAGGGGGGAAGCCAACTGAGATGATGTCCTCCCATCACAGAGTCCCAGCCTCACAACCACCCATTCTGGCAACCTGTTCTAGTCATTCATTCGCCCCCCCGCCCCCTCTGATCCCCCCCGTCCTGTCCCGGCAAAGAAATACTTCCTGGCCTCTGCCCTTAAACTGCCCCTTTGCAACTCTATTTGTGAGCAAATGCGGCAGCCCATTTGGACCCAGCAAGGGTCCCACAAAGTAGGCATGCGTTTGCCACGGAGGATTGTCAACCAGGATGAGTGCTGCTGAGCGAGCGCCAAGCAGTGCCCAGGTTCACAGCCATGTTTGCGAGCCTGAGCCAGTGATATCTCGGACCAGCTGCAGAGAAGCCCCTTGCAGCAGAGGCAGATTAACACCGCTGTGTCTGGATGACAGTTTGAAACACGGTTCTTTAATAGTGAGTTGCTCTGGGAGCCCAAAGTCTAATGGTCTCCATCTGCCGTCTGCTTTTCAATCTCGCACAGAAAACGCACCTCGTTACGCAGCACATAGATTCTTTCCAATGGTTAGGTTCATCCTCCCGGTCATGACAGTGACAGCATCAAACCTGGGTCAGTGGCTAACACTCTTGCCTCCGAGTCAGGAGGTTGTGGGTTCAAGCCCCACGTCAAGGACTTTGAGCTCACAGTCTAGGTTGACGCTCCAGCGTGGGGCTGGGGTGAGCACTGCATTGTCGGAGGTGATGTCCTACGGACGAGACATGAAACTTAAAAGATTCTATGGCACCAGTTTCTCCTCGTGTCCTGGCCAACAATCCCCTAGATATAACCGGCCATTCAGTCCATGGTTGTTAGTAAGCAACATTACTGCATGCAAATTGGCTGCACAAATACACAGTCACTAGATACAACAACAACAACAAGATTCCATTTATAGAGCGCCTTTCATGTCGGGAGGACGTCCCAAGGTGCTGTACAGTTGGGTCAGGACCCGAGCAGGGGGGAAATGGTCAGGGTGAGGGGAGGGAAGCGAGGAGGGGGTAGAGAGTCGAGAGGGGAGCTGAAGGCACGGTCAAAGAGAAAGGTCTTGAGACCGGCCTTGAAGGAGGAAAGGGAGGTAGCGGCGAAGGCACTGGGGGATAGAGTTCCAGAGCCTGGGGGCTGAGAGGCTGAAGGCGATGGAAGGCGGTGCCAGTTGTGGCGCGGATAGAGTTGGGTGTCATCCGCATACATGTGGAAGTTAACCCCATGTCTGCGGATGATGTCACCAAGGGGGAGTATATAGAGGGTGAAGAGGAGGGGACCGAGGACAGAGCCCTGAGGGACACCGCACGAGACAGTGCGGGGGCTGGAGGAAAAGCCGTTCGTGGAAACAAAGTGAAGACGGTGGGAGAGGTACGACTTAAACCACTCAAGAACAGGGCCTTGAAGGTTGAGGTGGGAGGACAAGCGGTGGAGGAGGATAGCGTGGTCGACCGTATCGAATGCTGCCAATAGGTCGAGGAGGCAGAGGGAGCCCTGGTCACAGATGGTCAGGATGTCATTGGTGACCTTGACCAGGGCAGTTTCTGTACTATGGCCAGCACGGAAACCCGACTGAAGGGGTTCAAATAATGAATGGGTGGAGAGGAAAGAGCGCAGCTGGGAGGCGACAACTCATTCCAGGACCTTGGACAGGAAGGGGGGGTTGGAGATGGGCCGGTAGCTTGATAGCTGCAACGCATCAAGGGAGGGTTTTTTCAAGGTGGGAGTGATGATGGCAGTTTTTAGGGGAATGGGAACAGAGCCAGAGGAGAGAAACAGGTTGACGATGTCTGTGATATGTGGGGCAAGGAGGTGGAGCTGGGAGATAAGGAGTGGAGTGGGGATGGGATCAAGGGAGCAGGTGGTGGGTTTCAGGGATAGGATGAGTTTGGTGACAGAGGGTGGGGAAATGGGTACGAAAGTGTGTAGGGGAGGATGGGTAGGAGTTGGAGTGTGGGAGGGAGAGAGTGGGGGGTGGGTGGATGTTGGAGGGGAAGTGACCGCGGAGCGAATTCCCTTGATTTTGGATTCAAGGAAATCCAGCATTTCCTCGCAGTGAAGGTTGGAGGAGATGACCAGCGTGGGATGGCGGGGGGGACGGAGGAGTCGGGATGTGGTAGAAAACAATAGCCTGGGGTTGTTCTTCGCTTCCAGGATTATCGACTTGGCCGAGGCTAGAGTGGAGCGGGAGATTTTGAGGAGGTCCAGCCAGATTTGTCGGTGGATTGTTAGGCCAGATTTGACGCAGGTGCGTTCAGTGGCCCGCACCTGGCTCTTCAGTGAGGGGAGGTGGGTGGTGAACCAGGGGGAGGAGCGGGAGTAGGAGACAGTACGGGAGGTGATGGGGGCAGAGTATCGAGTGTGGAGGAGAGACTATTGTGGAGGAGGGAGAGAGGAGAAGAGGGGTCAGTGAGGGTTGAAGGCCAGAGGGAGAGGAGTTCAGAGGACTCCAAGGCAGCGGTTAGGGATTGTGGGGGTAACTTCTTCCAGGGGCGGTAGAAGGTGGTGGTGGGTCTGGTGGAGGTGGGGAGGGGGGTGGAGGTGGTGAAGGAGATGAAGTGGTGGTCGGAGACGGCCTTGTCGGTGATAGTGACATCCGAGACACTGAGGCCCCGGGTGATCACCAAGTCGATGGGTGGCCGTGACTGTGAGTGGGGGAGTTGATGTGGAGGGAGAGGTTGAGCGAGGAGAGCAGGGAAGAGAGGTCCGACTAGATGGAGCAGGAGGGGGTGAAGTGCAGGTTGAAGTCGCCCAGGATGATGAGGCGATCAGAGCAGAGGCAGAGAGATGTAAGAAGGTAGAAATATCGGAAATGAAGGTGGGAGAGGTTTTAGGGGCCGGTAGAGGAGGAGGATTTTGAGTGACATACACTTCACAAAAAAAATCCTGTAAAGCCTTTTGACAATGTGAGATATAAAATGCATTATTCTTCTTATTAATAATAATAATAAATGTTGAAAGTCTGACACAAGCCAAGGTAAATGTAACATTAAGAAAGGCCAAGAAACCATCAGTATTCCCCAATTCCTCTCTTCCCTATAATTATGACATGAATGAGGGCCTCATTTGTTGGATCAAGAGAAGAATTGTACTAAATTACATAAGCCATTCCTTTCATTTGTTGAGTGTTTAGGATCGTTCTTCTTTCTAACAGGATTAACCACTATATACTATGTTATTTTCTACTTAAGCATTTTGCTTTGGGAAAGCATGACTGAGCTTAAGATGCAGACAATGGAGAGATTGAGTGAGAGAGACTTTGGAAAGGAGAGGAGAGATTGTGTAAAAGCCGTGGGAAAAAGCATCAGCACCAAATTTAATGTTTTCTAATCCTTTGTTTTGCTCGTAAACAGGTTTCAGCTTATTACAGCGACCTTCATCTTATTACTGCAACAAACTGAATTCAGTCTTCTCAAACGTTTTTTTCTAGTGTGACACATAAAATCTTTTGCATTTGCCAAGTGGGTAATGAGATTACCCTTCACCTACGGCAGCTCTGTGGCATCAAAATGCATACACAAGAAATAACCTACTCAGTAAACATTTCTCCACAATAACTCGCATTTATAGAGGTCCTTTCATGTGAAATATTGTCCTGGAGCGCTTTCTCAATTCTATAACAATAATAATAATCCTTGCATTTGATTATAGCATTTTATCACATCTTCAAGACATCTCAAAGTGCTTCACAGAATATATTGTAAAGTGAATTGGCTGTATATTTTGTGGGCGAAACGCGGCAGCGAATTGCGCACAGCAGTGTCCGACAAACTCTTTGTGACGTCTCAACAACGTGATAAGACGCTATATCAAATGCAAGGATTATTATTATTTAATTTTACCTTGGGGTATTTAACTTCTATGAGCAATGTGCTTCATTCCCATTTGAAATTAAACTTACTTTCACAGCATCCCCATGGGTGACTTTCTCAAACAGCTTGTCGTTGACACGTAAGATCTGATCTCCCACCTGAAGTCCCTCTTTCTCAGCCAATGAACCTTGCTCAACAAGAGACACATAGATTCCGACCCCATGTTCGGACCCTCCTCGGATACTGAAGCCCAACCCTTCGTTAGTTTTGTTTCGCCTCAATGCCACCAGCCTGACCTCCCCAAAGCTTTCTTTGAAGCCCTGCTGAGGAGGAGCTGTCCCTTGCTCGGTGCTGAAAGTGGTCTGCACTGCTCTGGACGGAGGCATCTCAGAGGGCTGGAGAGGGAGAGAGAGAGAGACAGAGAGAAACAACACTGTAAATACAAATTGTCAATGTGCAGAGCCACTGCAAGGTAATCCAATAACAAAGAGAGTAGCTAAGACATTCGATAACAGAGACTTGTTTTTATATACTGATCAATAGCCTTCTCAGTAGAGACATATTCTGTTGATAGGTATAGGTAACAATCTTTCAGCCACTGTGCCTCAAAACTCTGAAACATTCCTCCTCTATCCCTCTGTCTTGCCCCTTCCTTCCCCATCTTCAGATCGCACCTGAAGAACTTTGTGCCTCGGGTCCCCTCTCCCCAGTTTGGTGTCATGATCCACCACTGTCAAGTGCTCTGAGACTCATGAGGATGAGGAACACTATATAAGTGCAAATTGTTGTTGTTGTATATGTTATTGCTTCACAGATTCCAAAATGTTGGGGTTTCATGCATTTTGCATGGGCAGATCTCAGAGGGGATCTTATTAAAATATTCAAGATCCTAAACTAAGATCTCTTATTTTTAGGATGTTGCTCTAAGATCTTATTTTAGGATTTTTAATCAGATTCCTCTGAGATCTTATTACGAAAATATTCAAGATGCTGTTCATCTGAACCTCAGCAAGTTTATCAATAAATGCAAATGCCAAAATACAATGAATAAAGCACACATCTACAAGTGTGTGTGTGTGTGTGTGGGGGGGGGGGAGGGGGTACCAATTCAATCTTAGAACAGGGAAGATGAAAATATACAGATCAGATTGATACAGTCTACACAGAGAATCGTGTGTGTGTGTGTGTGTGTGGAATAGACCACCCAGAGAGACAGTGGAAGCAAATCTCTCACCATCAACTCAAAAGGGGATTTAACTAGCTATTCAGCCAATATNAAAAATATAAAAATGATATGAGAGGTTGTGTATTCACCTTAGAACATCCCTCCCCTTAGACCTGGCCAGATGGATGCACTGTTTCTCCCATCCCTGAGTTCCTATGTGCAATAGTCAGTGTACGTATGTCCCAGAATGCAGTGAATTCCTACAGCATTTTACTGTCAATGATAAATAGCCCAAGTATCAAATGACTTTGCCAAGGAGGGAGAAAATTGGTGCTATTTGATTTGCACAATAAATAAATTGGAGAGGACAAGGGAAAGGCAGCTCTATACAACAGAACAAAATAGTCAGTCGAGTCAACAGAAGATCACAACCCAGATTCCTCTCCCTCCTGAGCTCTGCACTACACTGAAAATGATGGGAACACACGGACACACACATACACTCACACACACACGCAGTGATTTGTTCTGATGTGCCAATCTCTTGATACAAAAACAATCATCCAGTCACAACAGGATTTTGGGATGTTTGGTGATTTCATGCAAACGTATTATTAATAATAATAACCCTTGCATTTGATATAGCGCCCTATCACGTCTTTGAGACGTTTCTCATACATAAAAATATTTATGTGTCTCACAGTCAAAAAGAAAAATGTCTCACACACACAAAAATAATCCTCTTTGAAGCGTTTGGCTGCCTGACACAATAACCTGGTAAACAGCCACTGTGTAGAGACATGTGCTTGGTTTATTACCAAAGCTGTGTGTGTAAAATTCATGTAAATAAACATATGTCTCCCCCCACCCTCTCCCCACACACACAAACCACGGAGCTTGTGATCAGGACATCAAGGCGCTAGTTTTTTCAGCAATGTTTCCATTGACATAACCTGCACTCCAGAAGGCCAGGTGAGATGGTGAGGATCTTAAACTGGATCCTCTGGGGATGGGGAGCCAAGTGAACTCAGAATATTTCTCAAACACTTCGCCTTGCAATCAGGATCAATCCAAAGGGGTTTTATATGTAGTATTTTAAAAAAAAAATGTTTTAAAGCATTAATAAAGCAGTGAGTGTAAGTGATCATTTTAAATGCACCAAAATATAGCTATTATATAGATATATAGAGACATACATCTGTATAGATACATCTAAAGATACATCTACATGGATACATCTGTAGGTACATCTACATGGATACATCTGTAGATACATCTACATGGATACATCTGTAGATACATCTACATGGATACATCTGTAGATACATCTACATGGATACATCTATAGATACATCTATATGGATACATCTGTAGGTACATCTACATGGATACATCTGTAGATACATCTACATGGATACATCTGTAGATACATCTACATGGATACATCTGTAGGTACATACACAAATATAGAGATTATTTATTTTGGTGAATTTTTATTTGGAAACAAGAACAGCACAATATATTAGATGTTTCTGGTATCATATATACACATATGAGGAAGTGAGAGAACAAAGCGGAGAGGAGAGAGGGAACGGCGCTGCACTTACATGGAAGTGTCCGGCGTTGGCAGCGCCTCCAGTGCCGGTGCCCAGAGTCCCATTGCCGGACAACAGGTCGGATTTCAAGTACAACCCCTCGGAGGTGTAGCGGTCAAACAGGAGCTGGTCTGACCTGGGGATGACCAGGCGGAGCATTGGCAAGAGCTGCCTCTTGCCCTGGCTGTTGAGGATAACTTTGAGCGTCTGCACCAGGTCGTAGACATTCCTCTTGCAATGGTAGACATTGAGGCAGTGGATGAATTGTTCCCTCTCGTAGTCGCTCAGTAAGACATTGAGAGCGTTGTGCAGTTTCCTGACGTTGGAGGACAGAGAGCGGCCGCCGGAGCCGCCTCCCGACACCAGGGAACTGGCCGACGAGTTCAGGGACATTCGCTCCAGGTCGGTGGACATGTTGAGGTTGAGAGAGACAGCAAAATAAAGTGGCTGGAGTTGTTGTTGTTGTTTTGGAAGGAGGAGAGGTAAGATTAACCTTATCAGAACATAATTTATAATAGCACTTCCATGAATTGCACAATATATATATAATCTACCTATCTATATATATAATTTAGATAACCCTCATGGGTTTAGAGCGATTGCAGATGTGATCTTGATTGGTGTGGAGATCTCTCTCTCGGTGCTCTGCTGGTCTCCCTCCCTCCCTCTCTCTCGCTTATCTCTCCTCCTCCTTGTCACTCTCGTTCTCAATCTGCATTTCGGTGGTTTGCTGAGCAGAGCAATCGCTGGGGGTTTGGGGTGATCTTCATTGCAAGAGGTTGAGGCAGAGAGCTCTCAATAACCCGTTGCTTTGAAGGCGGGAGCTTGTTCAGGTTACAGATGCAAGACTCAAGAGTCCCTCTGTCTGTCTCAGTCTCTCTCCCTGTGTCTCTCTCTATCTCTGTGTGTGTGTCTGTGTCTCTCTCTGTGTGTGTCTCTGTGTGTGTGTGTGTGTGTCTCCGTGTGTGTCTCTCTCTCTGTGTGTGTGTGTCTCTCTCTCTGTGTGTCTCTGTGTGTGTCTCTCTCTCTGTGTCTCTCTCTGTCTGTGTGTGTCTCTGTCCGTCTGTGTGTCTCTCTGTGTGTGTCTCTGTGTCTCTCTGTCTGTGTATGTCTCTGTGTGTCTCTCTCTGTCTGTCTGTGTCTGTGTGTGTCCCTCTGTGTGTGTCTCTCTCTGTCCGTCTATGTGTCTCTCTGTGTGTCTCTCTCTCTGTGTCCCTCTCTGTCTGTCTGTGTGTGTCTCTCTCTGTGTCCCTCTCTGTCTGTCTGTGTGTGTCTCTCTCTGTGTCCCTCTCTGTCTGTCTGTGTGTGTGTCTCTCTCTGTCTGTGTGTGTGTCCCTCTCTGTGTCTCTCTCTGTCTTTGTGTGTGTCTCTCTCTGTGTCCCTCTCTGTCTGTCTGTGTGTCTCTCTCTGTCTATGTGTGTGTCTCTCTCTGTCTGTCTGTGTGTCTCTCTCTGTCTATGTGTGTGTCTCTCTCTGTCTGTCTGTCTGTCTGTGTGTCTCTCTCTGTCTATGTGTGTGTCTCTCTCTGTCTGTCTGTCTGTGTGTGTGTCTCTCTCTGTCTATGTGTGTGTCTCTCTGTGGCTGAGATGCTTTTGTCAATTTCATCAGCTGTTATTCCCCGCGGAAATGACGCAGCAGATCTGTTGCTAAGGCGACAGCGACTCCCCGGGACGCCTCTGGTCAGTCCGCAAAATGGTGCTCAGTGGTCAGTCTGTCTGTCCTCACACAGGGCTCGGAACCCGCTCAGGCAGCGCATCACTGCAGGTTCTACATATACATATATATATATATATATATCTGGTGCTAATGAGACTGAGCTGTGTGTCTGGGTCTCTGTGTGTGTGTGTGTGTGTCTGTCTGTGTGTGTGTCTGTGTGTGTGTGTTTGTGTCTGTGTGTGTGTGTTTGTGTCTGTGTGTGTGTGTCTGTTTGTCTGTGTCTGTGTGTGTGTGTGTGTGTCTGTGTGTGGGGACACTGCTGTGAGCAAACCGGCTGCCTACAGAATATAATAATATATAATAATCTTTGCATTTTATACAGCGCCTTATCATGTCTTTGAGACGTCTCAAAGTGCTTCACAGCACATACTGTGAAGTGTAGTGACTGTGTATTTTGTCGGCGAAATGCAACAGCCAATTGCACACAGCAGTGTCCCACAAAGAGTCGTGGATTGAGTGCCCCAATTATCATTATTATTATTTTTGGAGGGACTGTTACCCCTGGGAGAAGCAATCTGCCCACCGACAGTATAATAAATACTATCATATAACAACAAATTCCATTTAGGCAGCACCTTCCATGTTGGAAGGATGTAAGGCACTGGACAGTTTGGGATTTGGAAAAAAAGCGAATATACGGAGCCCCATAGCGTAGTCACATGCGAGTGGACTCAGGTTCAATTCCCGGGCAGGGTGAAATTTCCCTCAAATTTCCCTCCTCCACGCATCATCTATCTATATTACCATTAAAAAAAAGTACTGACCGCAGAGAAGCCAGGGGAGCTTTGATAACAAGATGTTTCCGTTAACATTCAATTACTCGGGGAAATATTAGGTATCAGCCGGGCTCAGTTGATAGCACTCTTTGACTCCCAGTCAGAAGGTTGTGGTTTCAAGGCCCACGTCAGGACTTTGACCTCAATAGTCATATTCTCGTGTGAATAATGCAAGACATCTGCTAGTTCTGAGGTTCGGAATTATAAAATCGATCAACTCACGTGCTCTGAAGAAAGTGAATGGTCCAAGGATTTCATGAGCTATTAAAGAAAAGCAAGCCTAAAGTTTAATAAAACCAATCATTTCTGACTCCTGACTTCCAGTTTTGTAGATGCCGCATTGCCCTCTGGTGCAATTATAGATAGTACACATATCAACATTGAAGAGACAGCTGCAATGTGTCATCCACACCAAAACAATGTGGTGAGTGCTTTAACTGCAATCAACTCCTGGTATAGCTCTTAAGAATGATGTACTCAAATAATGTAAGATACATCCTGCCTTGCAGATAGAGCACTGTGTCTAAGCAGCTCTCTTTGAAAAGAGATGGCAGTTTTTCCTGGTATCCTGGCCAACAATTCCACCTTCCCCATCCCATGTCCCCCCTCCCCCAGGCAAAATTGGTCATTCACCTTCATGGCTGTCTGTGTGGGACACTGCTGTGCGCAAATTGGCTGCCGTGTTTCGCCCACAAAATACACAGTCAATCCACTTTACAGTATATTGTGTGAAGCTCTTTGAGATGTCTGAACAAAATGATAAGGCGCTTTATCAAATGCAATGATTATTATTATTATAAGGAGTCTTTGAAAATGAATATTATTAGATGCGAGAACACCTCGCAGGAAAACAAGCTCTTCTCACCTGCTAGAATGTCGAAAAAAAATAGTTGGAAAATTCTCATTGCATAGCGGCTGCCAGCTCTGTGGGGACACTCCCACTATTTATAACTCACCCTCAAGACTCCCTGCAGACAGGCTAACTCTGGTAAGTCAATAAAATACAAAACAAAATTGCATTTATATAGCGCCTTTCACATCGGGAGGACATCCCAAAGCACTGGATGAGAGTGAGGGTGGAACAATTCTGCTACGAGCTGCCTGCATGACCTAATCTAAATGCTTGGTGTCTTCAGACATTTGACAAATAGAAAAGACACAAAGTGCAGTGTATTACATGAGAGTGACATATCGGGGGGAATGAAACCATTCATTCTCAATCCCACAATGTGTTTCTTTGCCCTGGGACATGCTCCTCAGAGCATAAATCTTCTTAATGCACGAGGCGGACACGAATCGTTTTGCAACACATCCCTGTTTGTTCTCTCTGTCTTTTGCCCGCAGAGCTGCAGGGGAAAAGAAGATTTCCCAAACAGTACTACGGTGCCTTGTGATTTCAAGGAAGTATTTCCTTACATTGAGTATAATTAACAGGCAGAACAGGTTAACCAGGGAGGGTGGTAGAAGCCAGGGAATTGTGTTCATTTAAGTAGCATTTGATGCCTGTAAAGGGAGGATGGGAGGACGGCTATTTTGGAAAGAAGAAATCAAATGAGCTTCTTCATCCAAACCGCTCTTGGGATGTACTCAGTCCCTGTCCATGTCATATGGAGCCCATTCTTAATAATAATAATCCTTGCATTTAAGATAGCACCTTATCACATGGTTGAGACGTCTCAAAGCGCTTCACAGAATCCAGTCTAAAGTCAATTGACTGTATATTTTGTGGGCGAAACTCAGCAGCCAATTGCGCACAGCAGCGTCACACAAACAGTCGTGGATTGAGTGACCAAATTACTATTTTTTTTAAAAGGGATTATTATCCCCGGAAAGGTGATCCATCAATTGACTAACAACCAGGTTCCTACTTGCTGCTAGGTAAACAGAGGTATGTGGAGTAAGGAAATTTGCCTAAGGTTTCCCCTTTATTTGAGACTGTAACCCAGATCCTTGCCAGGCGAGACCGCTAAACGCTACAGTTGTTTGCTGCTGATAGAAAAGATGCCACAGCACACATTAACATGGCCTATTTGTCTCACTAAAACCCAGCAGGGATATCCTTTCCAGGGCTTGAGAGAGAATTGAGATTCTTAGCTCATCGCAAGCGAGCGATTTCTCCACCATGCTGGCTGCCGATTCCCCTGCCACTAATTGCGACACGACTCCAGATACTTCATTAAACACATTCAGATGTCTCGCTCACCATCTGTCTCCCCTCCTTTAGTTTTACTGATATTGCTATAATGCTTCCAATTCTGAATCCTTAGGCACACAATAAGCAAAGGAGAAAATATGTCGACTTTGGTAAAAGTCAAGAGTTTTTTTTTACACAGTACAATTTTTTTATATAAAAAAAAGCTCCTCTGCTGGGAGTGATTAATTGAGGATGGGAGTGTGCAGCCGCAGCACTGGTTCAGTCACAGTATTTTACAACTTTGATTTCCTTCAGTAAACAGAATCAGAAAGGTTGTTCACTATAAAGTCAAAATGAATATCGAAATACTGTACAATGTTATCCCAAGAGCTACTACAATCCCATTTATCCCTACATGAGTAATGGTGTGAAACAAGTGTGGACCTTTCTATCATTACAACTGATCAATGGGTTAGAGCATAATGGGAGTCACGTGTGTGGGGCAACACATTGCCGTGCTTATCCACAAAAATAACAACAACTTGCATTTACACAGCGCCTCCTCACACAGGGTAGAGTCCCGGAACGATTGATAGTGGAGGAGCACGACCCCGAGCTGGAGAGGTGATTGTAGGCACGGTTGAAGAGAAAGATCTTCAGTCACGACCTGAAGATGGGGAAGGAGAGGGCAAGGCAAAGGGATAGAGAAAGAGCGTTCCAGAGTTTAAAGGGTGTAGTGGCTGAAAGCGCGGCAGAATCCACAGGCACAGAATGAGGATATGAGTGGCATCAGCGCCATCCTCATCAACATGACTGGGCACAAGGTAAATGCAAGACCTTATTTGTGGCTGTGCTCCGACTGACTGGCGGGGAGCACCACAGGCCAGGACAGGGATTCAGCATGTCTCAGGAAGGATTGCTTTCACATACTCAGCCACAATCCCACACTTCAGCTGGTACAGCACCAATGGAACCCTCCTTGTCCAACAGCAGTAACTTGGATTTATATAGTGCCCTCCACGCCGGACGGCGTCTCACAGCGCTTCACTGTAACGGATTCCGGGCCGAGCCGGGGGGAGGGGGAGGAAGGTGACCAAAGGTGCGGTCAAAAAGAAAGGTCTTCAGCAGAGACCTGAAAATAAGGAGGGAGCAAGGCGAAGGGAACCTTTCATAACTCTGCCGCCTGCATTCTCAGCCGCACAAAACTCCGCTCCCAATCACCCCAGTCCTGACCAGACTGCACTCGCTGCCTGTCCCAGAGAGGATCCACTTCAAGATCCTCACCCTTGTATTCAAGTCCCTGCACTCCTCTGCACCTCTCTGACCTCCTCTCTCCTCACAACAGTGCTCATTGCCTTTGTTCCTCCGGGTCTGGCCTCTTCCGAGTCCTCCGCTCCTCCCTTGGTGGCCGTGCCTTCAGCCACTGCCCCGAGGCTCTGGAACTGCCTTCCTCATTCCCTTCGTCTCGCTCCCTCCCTTCCTATTTTCAGGTCTCTGCTGAAGACCTTTCATTTCGACCGCGCCTTTCTTCACCTTCGCCCCCCCCTCCCCCCGGCTCGGCCCCGGGATCCGTTACTGTGAAGCGCTCTGAGACGCCGTCCGGCGTGGAGGGCGCTATATAAATCCAAGTTGTTGTTGTTGTTGTTGAAGGGAGTGAGGAAGGCAGAGCCTCCAGAGCCTCGTGGCATAGTGGCTGAAGGCTCGGCCGCCGAGGGTGGAGCGGAGGAGTCGGGGGACGAGGAGCAGGTCAGACCCGGTATTCCACACCGGAATGCTCCTGCTCCCACCATCCCATCCCATCCCATCCCATCCCAGGCAAGGGGCAGGCTGTCAATCACATATGGGCCCCGCCCCCATCCCACATCACGTGGCACAGCGAGTTGACCCAGCCGGCCCTTGTCGGACCACGTGACACGGAGAGCCAATGGCAGCGGCGCTGGCCGCCGGAGCGGCAGCTGAGTGGGCGGCAGAGCTGTCAGTCACCCAGCCAGGCAGCCAATCAGCCTGTCCGTCACCCCCGGGTCCCGCCCCGTGATCACGTGAGCGCGAGGGCAGCCGTTGGTCCGCGGCGCTCGAGCGGCAGCAGCTGGAAGATGGCGAGTCAGTCACAGGGTATCCAACAGCTGCTGCAGGCGGAGAAGCGGGCGGCGGAGAAGGTGGCCGAGGCCCGCAAACGTGAGTCCCTCCCCCACCCACAGGGGGGTTCAGTGGGGGCCCGGGACCCGGCACCGAGAGAGGCCCCGCCTGACAGCTCAGCTCAGGGCCTGCTCTCCCCCTCCCTCTCCCTCCACCCTCCCTCCTCCTCCCCTCTCCCCCTCCACCTCCTCCCTCCTCCCCTCTCTCTCCCTCCTCCCCTCTCCCTCTCTCCTCACCCCTCCTCCTCTCCTCCCCCCTCCTCCCCTCCCTCTCTCTCCCCCCTCCCTCCCCTCTCCTCTCCCCCCCCCCTCCCCCCCCCTCCTCTCTCTCCCTCACCCTCCTCCTCCTCTCCCTCTCTCTCCCCCCTCCCTCCTCCCCTCTCCCTCTCTCCCCCCCCCTCCTCTCTCTCCCTCACCCTCCCTCCTCCCCTCTCCCTCTCTCTCCCCCCTCCCTCCTCCCCTCTCCCTCTCTCCCTCACCCCCTCCTCTCTCTCCCTCACCCTCCCTCCTCCCCTCTCCCTCTCTCTCCCTCTTCCCTCCTCTCCCTCTCCCTCTCCCCCCCCCCCTCCTCTCTCTCCTCACCCTCCCTCCTCCCCTCTCCCTCTCTCTCCCCCTCCCTCCTCCCCTCTCCCTCTCTCCCCCCCCCCCTCTCCCTCTCTCCCCCCCCCCTCCTCTCTCTCCCTCACCCTCCCTCCCAGCCTGGGAGTCACACAGTGTCCTGCACAATGTTTACAGTACAATGTCAAGGGGTTGACCAGGCCTCTCACTCTGCCCCCCGGGGGTCAGCTCTGGCCCCCGGGGGTCAGCTCTGGCCCCCGGGGGTCAGCTCTGGCCCCCGGGGGTCAGCTCTGGCCCCCGGGGGTCAGCTCTGGCCCCCGGGGGTCAGCTCTGGCCCCCGGGGGTCAGCTCTGGCTCGGGCAGTGATGCTCACGCACCTCTGTGAGTCAGGGGGTTTGAGCCCCCAATGTCAGGGAGTTTTGGACTCACGCAGTCTGGGCTGACACCCCAGTGCGGCGCTGGGGGAGGACCACATTGTCAGAGACGCCGTCCTTGGGATGAGATGTTAATCCAATGTCTCCCTTTGCGCTGTTCGAGTGGATGTTAAAGACCCCGCGTTGCTATCGGAAAAGAGAAAGGAGTTTTTCTCTCTTTCCCGGTTTCCCGGCCGACCATTCCATCCCCAGATAAAATCGGTCGGCCGCTCACTTCGCGACTGTTTGCGGAATGTTGCTGTGGGCAATTTGGCTGCTACGTTCCTCCCACAAAGTCATTCCACAGCCCTTTACAGTCCTGGCAAGTGCTCTGAGATATTCTCGACGGTGTGATAAGGTTTTCTGTGCTGCATCAAATGCAACGCTTGTTATTTATTATATCCTGTGAATCGCTTTGAGACTTCTTGTTTTGAAAGGTGCTGTATCAAATACAACGATTATTATTAAACACTGCACACTGTATACAATGTAATGTGGGTATATAAATGTCTGTCAACAAAACACAATTGGTATACATAACAATCCTGTGAAGTGCTTTGAGCTGTTTTGCGACAGTGTCATGTTGTGTCAAATGTAAAGATGAATATAAATGTGTAGAACTATAGCCGCTTGTCCTCACCTATAAACCCTCCACACCCTCGGACCTCACAATCGAGCTCTCTGATACTCTGCCCTACTCCAGCCCTGCCTCCCACTCCCTTCATTATTAAGAATATCCCATTGTGTGAGTTGGCTTATTTTTTATCTATTTTTTAAAAAGAAAACAATCTTATCTTATTAGATGTGTTCCTTCAGTCCATTTTCTGTTCAGCATTTCCAAACTTTTCTAAATCATCTTGTGCAACCCGTGCCTGCTAATGTGGATGTAAAACTTGTAAGTTCTACTTTCGAGTTTAGTCAAGCAAAGCTTTGAAGTAAATTTGGGCCTAATGTGCCGTAATTTTGTGACTTCCAAATTTTTCTTTTTTTAGAAAAGGTTTTTTTTTCTTTTTTAGCTTCGTTGTGGAAGTAATGAATGGTAATTTGTCACCTGAGGATGAACCTCCTCCCCAAAGGAGCATATATTTTTAAACATTTAATCTCATTTTATTGAGCTTGAAAGGTTATAAGAGTCTTCTGATACTGAAACCCATCCAAACTGTTGTGATCTTGTGCTGGTGCCTATTGACCTGCAGTACAATTGACCAGAATGTTGAACATTAACACTCAGTGTGACGTTGCCTGAGTTGAAATAATTTGAAACTAAGTATTGTGTGAAAATAACATTGATTTATAAAATGTAGCAGTAATATGGAGAAAAGATCATGTGAGAAGTAATCAATTCATTGTAACGTGTTGTGGATTATTTCCTTCTGTGAAATGTTGTCTATGAAGGTCATTTTGTGCATGAACAGTTTCCGACATGCCTTCACTATTGATTTAATCGATTTACTATGGCAACACACTCCTTAAAATGGATGTGTATCTGAAATCACTGAGGCATAACGTTTCACAGTAATTTGACCAGTATGGATGGAGCTTTGTTTCTCAGCAAAGGAAATTTGTGTTCTGAAATAATGTGTCACTGGTGCCACCATACGGTCAGTGGTCGAAGGTACCAGATTCAGGAAGCATGAAGCATGAGTTTGTTCCCAGCAAGTGATATATCCATTTACCAACAACGTATAGAAGTTAGTTTACTATGTTACCTGAATGTGTATGTATTGTATACACAGTATAATAATCTGTAGTAGACTTGCTACAAAATGATTTACTGGTATCTTAATACGTCCCTCACTTAATTACAGGAAAGAATCGCAGATTGAAGCAAGCGAAAGAAGAAGCTCAGGCTGAGATTGAGCAGTACCGTCTGGTCAGAGAGAAGGAGTTTAAAGCCAAGGAAGATGCTGTATGTTATATAAACTGTACACGCTCTGAGATGCCGTCCGGCGTGGAGGGCGCTATATACATTCAAGTTGTTGTTACACTTTAATATTTTATCATGTATAGTGTTTTAAAACATTGAATGTTGATCTAGATTCACCCTTGGACTAAAGTAATGAATATTACTTAACTGTGTGATCCTTTAAACTTGTCAGTTTACCGAACACCTCACTTGAAGTTAGTGACTCGCTTTTCACTCTGCAGGGTTCAATGTGAGCAAAACACATTTGAACCTATTTAAATCTCTGTGGTGCTGCTTTTGGCATAACATTTGGCCCCAACATAATGCATAAGTAAGATTTGACTTGGGAACACTCAAATTGGTTTGAGAAAGTAGGCTGTTAGCACCAGTTAAAAATTATGAGCAGGGCAGTAATTTAAAGATCTTTATAGTTAGTTTTATTGTTGGTATTTTGATCTGAAACTAAGTCAACAACCAAATTTATTTTTTCACTAATTGTACCTGCTGCTTACAAGCTTCTCAAAATTATCTGATCAGTAATTGCAATGCTAAACAGCATTAATCCATATAACTGTTCGGATTTGTATAATAACTTCCCTCTAATTATTTTGAGATTAACAGTCTTCCACAAATATTAATATGTAAAGATTAAACTTTTTTTTTAAGCAAATACTACTCTTATCATAGTGGCTTGTTTCTGTATTGCTTTTCAGGCTCTTGGCTCCCACGGTAACTCAGCAACTGAAGTGGATAAAGAAACTCTGGAGAAAATTAAGCTTATCAGACAAAACTATGAGCAACACAAGGAAGTTGTCTTGAACAATCTACTTGCTTTAATCTGTGACATAAAACCAGAAGTGCATTTAAACTATCGCATTAATGGCTAGAAAATAGACCAATATGATTGGTCTATTTTCAGTCAAAGTTGTATTTTGTGGTGTTTCTGTAGTTTTTTCCAAATTGGTACTGTGCAGAATCATTTTGCTTCAATAAAATTTGCAACGGATTAATTAAAAATAAGTAGGCTCTATTTCTAATTTCCTCCTGTGAAAGTTAAGTGACCTGCACTTATACTGAAATGATTACAAATTATCCTTGGGCTTTACTTATTCTGGTCCAAGATGAGGGTGATGTAACAGAACTTGTTAATAGGTTTGATCCTTGCCTAAATGAACATTGTACCAATGAGCACAAGATTATTACCTGCTCCTGTATTTTTCAGCCTCACAAGCAACATTAATGAACCACGTTCAAAGGCGTGCCCGTTTTGTGTGTAACTATACTGTTTTGTAATAAGATCATGAAGAGGGTATAGTGATCCAAAGGAGTCTGACTGCCTGTATGAGCATTTCTTGAGATTTAGTGTTCGGCAAAGGATGGCATGATGATTGAGTGTCAATTCATATGTTTATTGCCTTGACTGACAAGAGGTGGGGTGTGGGAATACTCCCATTCACTGCTCTTCGTCACCAGAGAGCACAAAGGGGATGCTCTTCGTCACCAGAGAGCGCAAAGGGGAGGTTGGTAAAGTGCAGCTGACAATTGGGTTCTTCAATTATTCTATGTAGGTGTTCCTAACCCTTTTATCCCATCCCTTTGTAGTAAAAGTGGAGCCACAGGGGTGAAAAGGGAAAATGTGGTTTACTTTCATCTTGAGACTTCTGAGCTTGTTGCATTGTAAAAACTGAGGTGAATTTAAAAGCTAGATAAGGATTAAAAATGAAGCCTTATCTTGGGATTTTGCCGAACTCCTTGTGTAAGGCTATAGGTTCTCAAAACTCAGATGGTTAGCGGAACTTTCAACTTGAACCAATATTTCTGTTGTCAATCTGACCTGTTTTGAAAGTATGAACTTTGCCTCCTTTAAGAGTGATTTCTGAGCCAAAGCTATTACCAGCTCATTCCTAAAACCTCTCAGGAATTCAGATGTCTATAGGTTTTTCTAATATTTCTCAGTACTATATGAAACAATGATGCTCCCTTTTACTGAACTGCCTCTTGACTATGTTTTCTTCAAATTGATACTTTTCTTTCCTGTAACCTCTGATGAGCACCAGCTTTTTTCTAAAATCTAAATAGCAATAAAATTTTGTTTGTTACTCTTACTAAAAGTCATTGTGTAGGCCTATTTTTATGTATTAAAATGTTTTTGTGCTCGCCAACTTAAAGGTAGCTACATCACTTTGCCTTGTGAATAATTTAATTGTAAATCCATTTAATTCAAATAGTTAAAGGGACAAGATAATAACTAACTGATAACCTAAGAGGGAAGAGAAATTCTCTTCTTAACGAGTGGAGAGTGGGTGGGAAGGGATGTTAACCTGCTGTACTGTGGTCTAGAATCAACAGTTCAGGTAATTGATCCAAGCCTCATAACTGGTACACAAAAGCCTGGGCATATTTCACGCGTCAGGATATAATGGGGGCTACAGTGGACTGAAAAGTTCAGGATGTTTGTGATCTTTAGAGGTTAGTTTTGCACTGATATTCATTGAACAGAAACCAACACCAATAAATATGCTCCTTCAAATTAAATTCTATATTGATGTGCAGCAGAGAGGTATAATTCTCTGACGTCAGTAGCTTGAGAAGGAAATTTGGTCAATGACATGTGGTGAAATGTTTATTGTGATTTTTCAGATGGAGATTCTGAATTATATTTATTGGGATGGGTACTTCTGTAAGGAATTGTTTTATTGAGCTATTTCACCGAGGTAATCTGGTATGTCATCAGCTTTGCAAAATGGCTATTACGTTCACAGCATCACAATTTACTCAGTAAGTTCTTGCTGGCAGTGAGGGCGCTTCTTGCAAATAAGGTGCCAGTTTGGTGTTGAATAGGCAAATAAATGGTGTATTCCTCAAAATAACTATTCAAATAGGCAGGTGGTTTTAAAATATTAGTAAGAACCTGAAAAAGTGGGTTTAAAATGTCAGATGTAATAACACGTCAATAACACTGAAACCAATTAGCTTTGTGAGGGCTCCCTGCTGGCCTCTTGTTGTCTCCCTGCAAAATCTGCTGAATGTTGTGTTGACTTTTACACCGTGAGATGAAGAGAGTAGATTGGGTCACAACTTCAGTGACTTATTCACTGTTGACTGGAAGGAAGGAGTGAAGGGGTAGCAGCTCGAGCTGTTCCTTGCTGGAGATGGACTTGGATTTGACTGAGAAAGGTAAAAGTAATTTGGAAACAAGACACTATTACTTGCTGAGAGCTCTGGTGTGATTTTCTAAACAGAAAACGATCACATAATGCACATTGAAGTGCTGTGAGAGAAGCTATGAGAGTGTTATATTTTGTTGAGTTACCGACCAATATTAATTGAAGGAAAAGTATTTTTTTCTTTGGGGATGTAAGTTTTTACATTTACATTCCTTCAGTTGCTTTGAGCTGAACCTGATTGTGACTGATATTCAGCGGTGATTTATTCAATCATCTGAATGTCACTTTGTGTAAGAAATATACCACCACAGTGCAGGAAACATTTACTGTTGTTTTAAATCAGATATGGTTAGCAGACATTTTAAAATAAACTAGTTAAAGAGACATTAAACCACAATGAAAATCTAGGTACCGCATGGCAAGATCGTGTTCTTACAAGTTATAAACTTATTATTTATTAAGTTATAAATGTATTATTAATAATCCTTGCATTTGATATAGTGCTTTATCACATCGTCAAAATGTCTCAAAGTGATTTACATAATATTTTACCCACAAAATACACAGTCAATTCACTTTACATTATATCTTGCGAAGTGCTTTGAGACGTCTCAATGACGTAATAGCGCTACATCAAATGCAAGTAATATTATTATGCTCAGTTTGGTTCCTGGTTGTTAATCTTCTAAAATTACATATGTTTAGGACTTCATAACGGGCAGCTTGTTCTGGTTCTAAGCTCTGGCAACTGCGAGTGGTCCCGAGGTTTTAACATGGATTGGCTTGTGAGAAGGCTGAAAGGATTGGGATTTCAGGTACAGTATTTCATTGGATCAAAGCCCCAATCAAATGTAGAAAAGGGTTTTCTGTGCGGTGTGCTTATAAAAGACTGAGACACAGAAGTTCTCTGGAGCTAAGGGAACGGGAGGAGGTTTGATCCACTCCACAAACATCTTTGCCTTCAGTGAGCACCAAATTCCACTGTAATATAAAATTCCAGACAACGTCTCTGATCTTTTCTCTGATGCTCCATACCTGACCTAGGATCTTAATGACAATTGTCGTGTCATTTGCCCTGCTCCCCATACAGAAATCTAACACAGCATTTGAGATCACTTAAGTCACTCAGTTCTGACCAGGAACCTGCCACGTATCTGTGCCTAAGCACTACCCACCGCAATGCGTTTGCTGTGGAGAAAACTAAACTAGAGACAAGAGACCATATCAGCCAAAGTCAGAGTGAACCCAATATTGTTTGAAGGATTTAAACATGTAAGCCACCTCCTTTAGTAACTGTTTTGGTCGCTGTTTATTTTCCCTAATATAATAGCTATGTCCAGACACATACAGGGGGCTGATTGAGAAATCACTAATGGATTCAAGAGTACGAAGATACATATGTTTTAACTCGAGGGCTTTCAGGCTGGCGTTTGCTGTGGTAAGTTGTCATTCTGCTGGGAATGAGATTTCGTAACCTTTATAAATCAGGCGGTTACAGTAAGGAGCAAGCGTATGGTAGAGCCTTACTCCAGTAAAATGATGTTGAGTTAAAAATGCAGAAAGCTCTTAAAAAAATAATTTAGCTATTAGCCCGGTTGGCCTTAAGGCATTGCAAAAGGAATTCGACAGGAAAACAATTCGAAACGCAATTCAATTGGTGTCCCAGGAGGAAAAATAACGCTCCACTTGGGGAGGCTGAAATCATTTGTCTCTGGAATTTGAATGAGGTTTAACAGAACACATTTGCGCTTGGTAACATGCACTGACTGTAAAGCCTTTAGATCTGAAACTTGAGCAATGTTTCGAATGGCAAATATAAATAATCCTTAATAATTAGAGGGTGGGGGGAATGAATGATCAAATGTTGAGAAGAAAGTTTACAGAGGACAAGAAATCTGACCACAAGAATCTGTGAAATAACAATAAGAGCAAAGGAGACATGAGAGTTCTTGAAGTTGTTGTTATACCCATCCCTATGAGGAATTTGTAGTCAGGGTCCTATCGCTGAAATCCATTTGTACCTTCACTTAGACCCATTGATCATTGTGGATCCGTTTAATCACCGGGGGATGAAAATAGATGATATGTGGCCTCTTGTTGTAAATTTATTTCTAAGTTTGTTCACTCCACCAAAACTTGGGAGTCTCACAAAAAACAAATGATCACAGGAGAAGCACGGACAGGGGGAAAACAGGGATTGCAACGACATCTGTGTGAGGTGTTTAATTTGCTGACTGGATTAAGATGTTGTGTTAAACCAATATTTAACCATGGATCAACAGAGCAGGTGATGTCCTGGGAGGGAAACTGAACTGGCGGTGAAATGAAAGTAAATTGAAAATTAGCCTCTCCAAGATGGGTCAGACTGGGTAAAATCGTTCAATTTGAGAGGATATATTTACATTCCATACATTACACAGCAGTTATTAAATTATCTCAACCCAGCTCCGCCAGGCACTGCTTATTCTTTATGTCACATCGCCCCGGGTGACTATATTCATCAGACGGACCATTCTTCCTTTTGCAGATGTTCTATGTTGCTGCCTGGGGAAACATATATTCCACCTTCCGTCAGCTCAGCGTGAATTTGATCACCTTCTGCCTGTGTGTAAGCCTGTCTGCTGCTTCCTTCACTGTCATCATCATCCTGCTCCTTGACAGGCAAGCCAGGAAGGTACAGGCAACTCGGCCATTTCCAACCCCCTTTCTCCGCTGTCCGTTCCCAGCTCTAAACTTCTTTCTTCACATTCAATGTCTTGAGTAACCTGAGATAAAAGGGAACCTACCTGTTTCTTTTCCAGATTAACGTAAACACTGATGTGCGCTTAGCTGCTGTCAACGAAACCCTAATGAAACACAATCTCCTGGCAGGGATCACGGAGACAACGCACTGGTTCAGTAACATGGTCCATGTATCCTGTTTATAAAGCTGCTGATCGAGTCAGAAGGATGTGGGTTCAAACTCCCTATGTCAGAACTTGGAGCTTGTAGCCTAAACTGTTGGAGGGGCCTTCCCCTCTTAGCCCCACTCTCCCTGCCCTCCACCCCACCTGATCCCAACCCCCTGCTCGGGTCCAAATCCCTGACTGTCCAGCGTCTTGGGACGTCCTCCCAACACCGTGAAAGGCACTGGGTAAATGTCATGTGTCGTTGTCGTCCTCCTTCAGATGAAACATTTCATAGTAAAATCCCTCAATAAGAGTGATGCTATATCAAACGCAAGTATTATTATTAAACCGAGGTCCCCTCTGCCAGTTCAGGTGGACATTAAAGAGCCCGTAGCACTATTGGGAAAGAGAAGAGAGTTTTTCCCCAGTGTCTTGGCCAATCATCCTCCAGGTAAAACAAACTGTTTGTTCACATTGTGGCTGTTTGCAGGACATTGCTGTGCCACAGTCACCATCTGAGCCAATCATCCTGAACCTTAACACTCGGCACCAGCTATCACTCATCTATTTCAAACCTCAGCAGTGCAGTGAAGGACTGTTGGCATTGCTTGAGCAAAGGAAGAACGATGATTTCTTCCAGGTAGTATCTCTGTGTATATTCATTTGAAGAGAATCTCTTGTCTTCACTGTGATCAGACTTAAGTTCATTGTCTATAGCTGCCGATGCATTGTTGAAAGTGCCGTCCTTAGCTGAGATATTTCACAGTAAAATCCCATTTTGTGGCCGTTTTTCTCAGGAAATCTATTGATCTACAAATTGAATGTTAGACATAAGTGGCAATGTAAAACTAACATGGTTCCTTCAGCTTACTTGATGGCTTTCCGAGAGAGCTTCTCATTCAGTCGGCTCCTCTGCCCTTCCCCACTTCCTTCCCTTTAATATTTCCGTTTGCGGTGGGCTGTTTGCAGGGGCTGTTGCGTCCCTCCTGATGTTAAAGGCACTGTTATCAAATGGAAGAATTATTAATTGTTTCTTGAAATGTGCTTCTCAAACATTCTGTCCTGTAGGTATACTCAAAGAAGTCCTGTAGCTCAGTGGTTAGAGCACCCATCTCACAAGTGAGAGACCTGGGTTCAATTCCCAGCAGAGTGAAATGTTTGGCATGTTTCCTTACTCCATGCGCCTGATAATAATCCCTCAAGAAAATAAAACAATATTAAATTGGTCACTTCAATCTGAAACTGTTTGTGGACGCTGCTGTGTGCAATTGGCTGCCGCATTTCGCCCACAAATATACAATCAATTCGCTTTACAGAATATTCTGTGCAGCGCTTTGAGACATCTAGAAGACATGAAAAGTGCTATATCAAATGCAAGGATTATTATTATTCTGTGCCAGTTTTCTCTGTGCTGAACAGAGAGAGAGAGCTCTGTGCTCTCCCGATCTGATGGTGTCAGTGTCTGACGGTGCCTAGAGCCAGCTTACTGGAAACCACAGAACATTTTGACAAGTACAGATGTGGTTTCAAGCACACCTTGACCTCTCAATACCTGAATGAACTCTGTACAGTACAGAGCTGAGTTGCAACAAAACATTGCTTGTATTACTTAAAACTTTATTCTGTAATTTGTTTGATTTAGCCTATTTTGAGGCTGGGATGAAGAGCGCTGGTGGGATGGTGCTGTCCCTTATTATTATTATATGCTGTGTCCACATTCACAGGGTTTGAAACATTATTCATGCTTTGTTTTTAAGGCAGAGTTAAGGAAGCAGTTGGATGATCTATGTATAGTTGTGGAACGTACTGTGCCTTTGCAGGAAGAAGAGCAAAGCAAGTTGCCTGAAGAACGTCCCCTGATATCAAGCAGGAGCAGTGATAGCAATTCAGCTGTTACCTGGAGTGGGATCATCAGCTTGATTTCCCCTGGCACCCCTGTGGTAATATTTGCTCGTAATTTGTTACAGTGCGGACTCACTCCTGGTGATTCAACTCTGGTTCCAGGAAGATTCGTTCCTACATTCTAGCTTTAAATCCCACTTTAAAACCCACCTCTGTGACCGCGCCTATGGTCCCCCCCCACTGCGCTCTCTCTACCTCCCTGGGAATCAGACTCAGCCACTGCTAAGCACTCTGAGATGTTACCCTAAAAGGCACTGTATAAATGTAAGCTGTTGTTGTTACTATCTCCGCGAGATGTCACTGGGCTCCGAGCTCAGTGCGAGCGACTCATTAAAAAGCGTCTGGTGCTGTGATAACAAAGACGTTATCGACACAGTAACTGGAGACCTTTTGCAGTTTAATATTCAGTCTTGTGAGGGGATGTGGAAATGCAGCACTAACACAGCACAAAATAAAGTTCCCCCACCCCCTCGCCTGCCTCCAGGGAGGGATAGTTTCAGGAATAAACTGGGAGTTTAAAGATTGTCTATAACACAGTTCTGGGAATGATCATTCCCATCCAGATGATTCCCTCCTGTGTGTGGCTTGTGGCTACTTTACATCCAGTAAATTGTGGATCGATGTAAATGAGCATACCAAGCAAATAGGCAGAGTAACAGAGAAATACCACATGTGCGTGCAAGGATGACAAGTTCTGAATTTAGGTGTCAGTCTGGCTCAGTTGACAGCACTGCTGCCTCTGAGTCAGACGATTGAGGGTTCAAGCGATTTGTCTTAAGTCAGAGGTCACAGTCTGAAGCTAGCTGCAGTGCTCCCGGAGTGCTGCATTGTCAGTTGTGCCAGCCTTCGCATGAGATGTTAAACTAAGCTCCTGTCTGCCTGTTCAGATCAGCTTTAAAGATCCCACAGCACCATGGAAGTCCAGAGTTTCTCCTGGTTTCCTGGCAAATAATCCCAATAAAATTGGTCAGTTCACATCATGGCTGTGTGAGACCTTGCTCTGCAAATTTGCTTCTCCATTTTTCTCCATTGCACTTCACATTAAAGTGCATTTAGACCTAGTAATGAGGTGTAATATCAAATGCGCAGATGATGATTATTATTAACGCTTTCTCCCTCTGTGTAGGAAATGACACATCGGCTGCTAGTGATGTACAGCGCCGTTTATGTGAGGCTTTTGGTCACAGGTCAGCTACCTTCATCGTCCCCTTCCCCCCACGCCTCCCACATCACTGCTCCCTGCCTTTGTCGGTTTATACAGACGGTACTGAACCTCAGAGCTCACTCAGAGGAGGCTGGAGCACCGAATACCAACCGTGAAGAGACATGAGAAGACATCATTCATGTCTTGGATTGGATTTGTCATCCCTTAACCTGGGTAAAGGTGCTGTATGAATGCAAGCTGTTGTTATTGATATTGTAATATATAAATTAAATCTAAATAATAATTTGGTCACTCAATCCATGACTGTTTGTGGGACACTGCTGTGCGCAACTGGCTGTTGGCTACTATATTTAGCCCACAAAATATATAGTAAATTCACTTCACAGTATATTTTGTGAAGCGATTTGAGATGGATTATTGTTATTAAGTGTGGCCCCAATTTTCTGAATATAAAACTGTTTAAGCTACGTTTCGTCCATGTACTTTACTTCTATATGAGTGAAAATGTACAAGAGATCAAATGTTTATATTCACTCCCAATCTATGGAGCTCCCTCCATCTTCCTCTCCCCTACCCCCCGCCCGCTGCTCTCTTTCTGCCTCAACTCCTACCTTTTTATCCCCAGGTTGAATTACGCACAAATCCACACAGAAAAAACAGCTCAGGAAAGTCTCAGGAAATGTTCTTTATTGGGATCATTATTAAGGAAACTGATTCCACCAAAAACAGCAAAGGATTATTTTTAAACCTAAAAGTACGAAGCATGAAAACATTTTTAAAATAGTAATACATGTTATTTTGTTCTAGATTATAAGACATGATTACTGGTATTTTGTACTTGAGTATGATATGTTACTTTCTTTTAGAATATCAAACCGTTTATTTGTTGGCCCAGAAGAGGTTTGAGAAGATGAGCTGAGGAGATGCCGTTGCGTTTTCTGGTACAAGGAAAGTATCTTCAGACAAGTTCATCTCCCAACAGATAGGAGGTTATGAGCAGGTCGTCATGGCTTCCTTGGGACAGAACAGCAGGGAGAGGGGGGAGAGCGTGGGGGGTGAAAGGGCGGGTAGGAGGAGAGTGGGGGGGAAAGGGTCAGCAGAGCTCCAGCGCCCACTTAGACGAGGTCGCTCTGCACCAGACCCTGTCCTTACCCTCAGGAGCCACAGGGAAGCCCTAGAGACTCCTTGGATCTCATCCCCATGGAGGCTGTGTGGCTGGGATGGAGGGTTTTTACTTTCTGCTCCATCTTCAGCGCTGAAAAAGAAAAGAAAAGCAGAAGTGAAAAATTCATAATGGAAAAATAGGTTATTTCTTGTGATTGGTCACACAAACTATTTCCCAATGATCTGCAAGGCATCTCCCTCCCACTCCCGACAGCTGTTTTGAAACTGAGGGAGAATTGGGCTTGTTTTCTCCCAAGTGGTTCTGAAGCTCAGGAAACGCACCGTTGTGTACGCAGCTTCTTGATGGTTAAGAGCATCGATGACAGGAGGACAGGGTATTGGAGGCACATTTCACTTGATGCTGTTCAGGTGGATGTTAAAGATCCCACAAAATACACAGTCAATTCACTTTACAGTGTATTCTATGAAGTGTTTTGAGATGTCTCAATGAAGTGATGAGGCTCTATATCAAATGTAAGGATTATTATTATTTATTATTATCCCACAGTACTTGTCAAAAAAAGAAGGGAGTTTCTCCTGGGGCTTGGCACACAGCTTCCCCCGCAATAAAATTGTTCCCTCACTTTATGGTCAACAACAACTAACAACTGCTGCTCTCACCACATCCTCCCCAGATGCACAGCTGTGACCTCGCGCATTACTTTGCAACATAATCTTTCCTCGTTTTCCCCCCCAAAGACAAACCAGGTCTAAATAAATGATGGCTTCAAACCACCAGAGCCTGTTAGTCTGGTTCCTTCGTAACAGCAAAACTGCAAGTCATGCTGACTGCTACATTCCTCACAAATAATCGATCGAAGGAAACAAGGGAGTTTCTCCCTCTCTCTCTCCTCCTGGGTTTCTGGCAAACAATCCACCAAATGAAATTGCTCATTCCTCAGATGGCTGTCCGTGAAACATTGCTGTTGTGTTTGTCCACAAAATACAGCAGCTCCACTTTACACTTCCTTCTCCTCTTTTCGAACAGCACCACAGAATCTTTAACGTCCACCTCAATAGGCAAAGGCGGGATCTCAGTTTAACATCTCATCCAAAGAATTATTGGTTCTGCTGACAATGCAGCACTAACCCCCCCACTCACACACACACACACCCTCAGCATTGCACTGGAGCGTCAGCCTGGACTGTGAGCTCAAATCCTGAACCCACAACCTTCTGACTCAGAAGCAAGAGCATGGCTGACTGAGCCAAGCTGATGCCTCTAACGTGGGGACTTGGTGATGCGATGATGTACAGTCAGTGAGGGTCTTACCTCCACACGAGCTCTTCGCCTGACCACACACGGTGGGCGTTTCCCCTCGATCGTCCCTTCGCTCCCCACACAGAGACACCACCTTCCGAGCCACATAGGAACAGGCTTGGGGGTAAAGGGAGAGATCAGCGAGAGCTTAGCAATGCCTTGCACATATTATACAATGGTATTTTGATTGTGCCTAAGGTCACCTCCCCTCTCCCTCTCCCCTTGGCTCATTATCAGACTGCCATTGTCAAGCGATCCAGAACTCCAGCCTGGTTGAAGGGTGCTATATAAACACAAGTTGTGTTTACATTTATACAGTGACTTTCACATTGCATAGGGAAGGATACTCTCTTAGCGCTTGACAATGCTGGATGGACTTTGACATAGACTCAGTCCCAGAGACTTCCTGCTCTGATTGTATAATAGCCTTAGGCCACAGAGTGGGGAGGGGGAGTAAGGGATTGCTTCCTCTGGCAGCACTCGTCTGGAGGTTAGCAGGATGGAGTTTATCTCACATCCATGTGTGGAAGCCTGTCACACACACACGTACACATCCGCATGTTATTGGGGGAGGAATGTTGGGGTCATCCCGCTCACCGTTTATCAGCAGTCACACCATTCTCGCCGTGGTCTCCCTTCTTCGCTCACGCCGGATCTCTCTGGTTCTGTTAGCAGCGAGACGTCACCTCGGCAACTCTCCCAGGATCTCACAGGATGTCAGACACCTGACTTGAGGACTGTGGGAGACGGATACAATCAGACTTTAGGTAAAAGATCAAAAGTGGAGACCATCACGTCCATCAAAATGCTAACAATCTTTGCATATGATATTGCTCCGTATCGCTTCAAAAATACTTCAAGTCCTCACAGAGTTTTCCATAAAGTATAGTCACTGTGTATTTTGTGGGCGCAAGTGGCAGCCAAACTGCCTGCAGCAGCCACTACAATCAGCCGTGAAGTGACGAGCAAATTCATCTCCCTCTCTTCGTGAGCAGCGCCAAAGGACGTTTAACATCCGATTGGACAGGTACAGACTTGGCCTTGGTCTCATCTGAAGGAAAGCACCTCCAACAATCCCCTCCTCCAGCTCTGCACTGGAGCGTCAGCCTGGACTGTGAGCTCAAAATCGCTGATGTAGGGGACTTTGAACCCATAACCATCTGACTCCGAGGTGAGAGCAGCTACCAACAGAGCCAGGATAAACACTCCCCTCTCAGGGAATCAATCCACATTCTCAGACGGAGATCATCAAAACCTGCCTCATGTTACTATAACTCCACCTGAACACAGCAGCTGGTGGCTCTTATTCTGGCAGCTCTGCTCTGCAAACCCTTCCTCGCTCGCTATCTCGCTTGCTCGCTCTGCCTGGCTACAGAGCTGTACACTTGACAATATTCACTGAACACACTGGAGCCTCGCCCACACCTACCTGAGCCTCCTCTCCCTGCCCCCTCTGTGACGTGTATTGCTGAGCCGATGGAAGGAGGGTACATATACCGCTCAGATCATTCCTTCCTTCTTCCCACAAACAGGTCAGACTCACCTGTGCAGCTCTGCTACTGCCTGCCTGGCTGGTCCTTTCAACAAGCTACTCCTGACCTGTGTCAGGATTGTTATTTATTATTATTAATAATATTATTAGTCATTATTAAGAATAATAAACAAATAATCCTTGCATTTGATATCGCGCCACAGATACCTCAAAAAATAATAAATATTTGGTCACTCAACCCACGATTGTTTGTGGAAGGACACTGCTGTGTGCAATTGGCTGCTGTGTTTCGCCCACAAAATATGCAGTCAATTCACTTTACAATATATTCTGTGAAGTGCTTTGAGACGTCTCGAAAACGTGATAAGGCACTATATCAAATGTAAGAATTATATTATTTATTTTATAGATGTTGAGAGTACGTCTCAAATTGTTTCACAATGACTTACTGTAAATATATATATAATAATTCTTGCATTTGATATAACACCTTATCACATCATTGAGACGTCTCAAAACGTTTCACAAAATATACTGTAAAGTGAAAAAACTAATTTGTTGACGAAACACAGCAGCCAATTGCATACAGCAGTGTCCTATAAACAGCGTGGGTTTAGTGACCAGAATTTTTTCGAGGGATTATTACCAACGGAAAGCGATCCACCAATCGACTAACAACCTGGTTCCTACCTATTGCTAGGTGAACAGAGGTGTGTGCCTAAGGAATCGCTCTGCTTGGGATTCGAACCCAGATCCTCTCGCTTGCGAGGCGAGCGCGCTAACCAGTACACTACAGGACTCCACAACAGTACAATAAGAATTAGCAGCTTTCTTGCATCGGGACTGAGGTGGTCATTGAGCACACGACAGGAGCAGTTTATTCTTTAATCAGGTAAAATAAATGCTTGCCCCTCGACGAACAGACAGAATGTGCACACACAATATGATTTGCAACCACTAGGTGACAGCACAGGATGGTTCACAGGCTGACGGGGAGCTATTCCCCCGTTTAATAAGCAAAGACTTATCGTGTGTGTTTGGTAATGATGATATTCCTAATTATCCTGGACTTTGTACAACGCCTTACGACGTCTAGAATATTTCCTTACGCAGAGTGTAATGATTGGCTGGGAGCGGGGTGTCAGGAAGGCAGCTTGAGGACAGGAACCTGGGGGACAGGAGGTCAGATATTCTGGAAGGATGAGGTAATATGGAATAAAGCGCCTCTTCAACCCAAACCCGTCTTGTGATCTCATGGCAGCTGATTTGTATACAGCATCGTCTCACAGGGTGTCTTGAAGTGAATGACCAATTCTATCCCATGGGATTGTTGGCCAGATGTGAATTCCCTTCATTTTACATAAGTGATTGCAAAATCAGTCTGAACATCAAGCCCAACTGGGATAATATTTTGGCTGCTCTCCTTGATGATTATTATGAAGATGATGATTATAATAATAATCCTTGCATTTTATATAGCACCTTACCACATCGTTGAGATGTCTCTAAGCACTTCACAGAATATACTGTAAAATGTGTGTGTGTGGGCGAAATGTGGCAGCCCAACTGAGCACATCAGCGTCCCCAAAACAATGGAAAAAGCACTGATAATTCCAGAGGAACTGAGATCATTTATTATTTTAATTCATTAGTGTTGTTGTGTTGTTTGGAGTTTTTTGTTTGAACCTGGAAATTGCTGTTTTGCATAAAATCACAGTTGCAAATTACAGCGGTTTGCGGGTTCCTTGGGGTCAAGAACCTGCAAAAACCACAGTCTGTCAGACCTGGGATCACCAACCCAGGGTCCTAGAGGGAGAGCTGTACCAAGGCTGTCTGAGGCACACTAGTGGGCTGTGCATTTTATTGCGGGGATGTTGTTGTATGTATGTTGTTGGCTGCGCTGACGCAGCGGTGGGCTGAAAAAACACACCATGTGGTATGATAAGTAGTGTAGTGGTGAGAGGAGCACTCGCTTCCCAAGCGAGGATCCAGTTTCTACGCCCAGACAGGTCAGGCCGAAACCTTGGTCAAGTTTCCTTACTCCACACACATGCCTCTGTTTCCCTAGCAGTAAGTAGGAACCTGCTTGTTAGTCAATTGGCAGATCGCTTCATTGGGGTAATAATCAGTCACCCTCCAAAAAAATTGGTCACTCAATCCATGCCAGTTTGTGGGATACTGCCATGTGCAACTGGCCACTACTTTTCGCCCACAAAGTACAGTCATTCCACTTTACAATATATATTCTGTGAAGCGCTTTGAGACGTTTCAATGATATGATAAGGTGCTACATCAAATGCTAGAATTATTATTTTTCTAAGTACCCTAGCCTGCATTACTGATGTTAATTCAGCTTCTCCTGTGTAAAGAGACTCTTAGAGTGAACCGAGAGAGAACTGCACTCAATAAAGTTGTAAAGAACAGGAGGAGACCATTCAGCCTATCAAACCTGCTCAGCTATTTCCTCAGATCTGTACCTGTCTTCTCTATACACCTGATACCCTGACTAGCCAAGGATTTACCCACTTCCCAATTAATCATTCCCACTGACTCTGCATTAGCAGGTCTTTTTGAGGCAGCGAATGCCACAGACCCACAGCTCTCTGGCAATAAAGAAATATTTTTCTGATTTCACCACTAACAGGTTGAGCTCCAGTGTGTACATTGTGGCCTATTGTGTTAGATTCGGCAATTTATAGGAAAGCATCTCTGCTTATCCACCCTTTACCATAATAATAATAAAAAATAATAATCCTTGTAGTTGATATATAGCCTTATCATGTCTTTGAGATGTCTCGAAGTGCTTCACAAAATATACTGTAAAGTGTAGTGACTGTATATTCTGTGGGTGAAATGCAGAAGCCAATTGTTCACAGCAGTGTTCCACAAATGGTCGTGGGTTGAGTGACCAAATTTTTATTCTTATATTTTAATTTTTTTTTAAGTATTATGCTGTAAGACTGGAGAGAGTTGCGTTGTCGGAGGTTCCGTCCTTTGAATAAGTTGTTAAACCGAGGCCCAATCTGTTTCTTCAGATGGACGTTAAAAATTCCGGCGGCGCTATTTATTTGAGTTGCGTTACAATTTGGGATTAAGCAGCAGCAGGAAAGTGGGCATGTGTCAGATGTAAGTGACACACACAGCCAGCCACAGAAAGTGTCCGTTCAACATGGTCTTTTAATGCATGCAATTTTATTTTGTGCCAGATTGGTCATTCAGGTTGGCTATAAGATTGAAGATATTTTAGATTGTAACATTGATGTACACACATTCCTACTTGCATTTGACCTATCACCACATCCTGATTGAATTACAGTAAGATGTCATGAGCATTAAAGGTTATTTTTTAATCACTGCATTGTAAATCATTGCAATGGAAATCCACGAAATTATGACACAGCTTTTCCCACAAATTATTTCTGTGAGTCATTAACAAGGACTTGCTTACGTGCAATTGAAAAATAATTCCCAATGAAAGTTATTCAGGCTGATTAGAGGAATCACTTTGTCAAGATCTGTACCTTAACCTCACCCTCAACCTCCACACAGCTTTGGTGTCGTTAAAGTAAAGCGTGTCTGGCTTCCCCCCTGGCTCAGTTGGGAGCAGGCTCATCTCTGTGTCAGGAAGTCATGGATTCTAAGGCCATGCTTAGAGTTTGCTCTCGTAGACACTGTGTTGTGATGTTGAACTCTGTTTTTCCACCCAGAAAAATCCTGTTGTTGAAGAGACCATTGCTGTGTACAATCATTACCCTTGAAATCACTAATCCATTGAAGCACTTTGAAATGTTTTGACAGGATAAATCTGTTCAAACAAATTGTTTTTTCCCCTTTTTTCTACTTGGGTATTCCTCTGTTGGGGAAACATGGAGGAAGTTACTGGCTTGATCATTCCCAGGGTCAATGTCTGAAAAGATTTCTCTATACTATCAACTAGACAGCTGCTCAGAGGAACTTTCATGCATTATACGTAACCAATGAGACAATAATGAGGAGATCTATGCTGTAAACTAACGTCTGTGGTGATCTGTTGGTTGCAAACCTGAGGGATACAATGGGGAGAAACAAGACTATCTGTGGCTCTCTCAATCCACCTTGAAAACTGCGTGAAGGCTGCTCTACAAAGACAAGATGTTCTTGTTGTTGCTGGTGCTAGTGAATATGGCAGCCAATTTGCACAAAGCAGTGTCCTGCAAACAGCCTTGAAGTGAATGACCCAATTGGTCCCTCCCTCCATGGCTGTTTGTGGGACACCACAGTGCGCAACCTGTTTCACTCACAAAGTACACAGTGAATCCTCTTTATAGTATATCCTGTGAAGCGCTTTGAGACGTCTTGATGACGTGAAAGGCACCGTATCAAATGTAACGATTATTATTATTTTACCGGTAAGATTATCAATCATGAACCCAAGACAAACACCTTTGTCTTTTCAAACAGAGTCACAGGATCCTTAACATCCACCTCAACCAGCAGAGACCCTCAGTTTAACATCTCATCCAACATTGCACCAATATTGCATTGAAGTGTCAGCTTGGATTACGAGCTCAAAGTCCCAATGTGGGTCCTGAACCCATAAAGCTCTTGATTCAGCTTCAGAGGTTAGAGTGCTCTGAGCTGAGCCAGACCCACGTTCAAGATGAATTATTGTGTTAACTCAAAAGTCTTCAGTTGAAGACAAACTGCTTGTCTGGCTGCTAGTGCCAAAGGTAATCTTTATGTTAAACCATGGGGAGTTTGACACAAGCCTTCCTTTGCCATTCAGTGAATAATTATTCAGGCTCCACCAGACACTGCCCTGCGTGAGAGGCGATATATACATGCACTCTGTTGTTGTTGTGCATACACAAGTAATGAATGAGGAATAATGTTACTGACCTTTAGTGTATTCTTCCTTATTCTTTGAATGCGGTAGTGTTTCTATATATAATCCTGCCTACCAGCCATAGAGCTACATTTACTATTCAAAAGAAGGTCATCTGGTCCAGCACTCCGAAAGAGAAGTCCATTCAATCCCTTTTACTTGTTTATTCCCCGTGCGATTCTCATGGTGGAAGAAAAGTAAACAGGATGTTCACTTCTTGAACAGTAAACACAGTTTAGCATTGCTCAGAGATGTGATAAAGTGCCACAAATACAGGCGCTCTTTGCCCTGTGTTGCAATGATCCTCAGCCACCATTCCTCAATTGGACATTAACGTTCATACAGCGGCATAGACTTTAAAGATAACATTGAAATTCAAATTTCTAAAGTCATCCTGAAAATCTACGTATGATTCACCAGTTACAAGAAAGTTTACTCATTGAGTCACTCTCAGCAGGTAGGGTTACAAGAAACATAAATGTCACTTTTTGCTTGTTTTTCTGCCACATTAAGAGTAATCACTTCACTGTGACCACAAAATACATTGTCTGGAACCTGAAATCAATACTTAGACAACCATTCTAAGCTGCTAGGCACTGATACTGGGTGTCAGCCTGGCTAAGTTGATAGCGCTAGAAGTGTATAGTGACTGCACACTGTTTTTAGGTGACCCAGGACCCAATTTGTGCCACAGCCAAGAAGACAATGACCAACTTTAAGATGTAAGAATTACTATTCAGGCTCCGTGATACACTGCCCTGCGTGAGAGGTGCTACGTACATGCACAATGTTGTTGTTGTACATCCACAAAAATATATGCAATGCCTTATAAAAGCAAAGCTTAAAATTGAAGGTGCAGATACATGATTTTGGTGGGTTTCCTATTTACATGATGTAGTTTAGGATCCTGTGTGCGAGCGGAGATAATGATCAGGGCCGCGATACAGGGAGACATGAATTGTTCTCACTAACATCTTATCCGATTCCAGAATGATCAGATAAAATGTGTGGAGAGAGAGAAAAAGAAGTCTGCAGCAAACCGATAACACCAGGGAGAACTCTTACTTTATTACAGCTAACTCTGAAAGAGAGCAAATTGGCACAGAAATCTGTTCTTTGTAAAACCTATATATATAGATGTATATATATATTATTCCCCAGTACCACAAACACAACAACAAACAATGAATTTATCATCAGTTTCATTCCAGCCCAGAACACAGAGTCCCCTGGCCTACTTGGAGAGAACATTTGTTTGCATTAACTTGCTCGCTAGTTACTGATCTCAAGACATCTGCAGAAGCTGCTTGACCTAGTTTGTTTTAAATAAATTCTGCAAAGAGCTAAAAAGGTCCCATTTCAGCTTCAATAAAATTGTGTTTTGCCCTCCTCGAGATGGAAAATAATATTGATTTGTTTGTTTGTTTGTTTGTTTGTTTGCTTGTTTGTTTGCTTGCTTGTTTGTTTGTTGAGTTAAAGCCCTTTGTAGCTTTCTGAGCCTTGGGTCTCATGAAACATTGAAGTAGTAGTAATAATAATCCTTGCATTTGATACAGCGCCTTATCACGTCATTGAGACGTCTCAAAGAGCTTCATGGGATATACTGTAAAGTGGATTGACTGTGTATAATGTGGGCGAAATGCGGAAGCCAATTGCACACAGCAGCGTCCCATAAACAGGATTCATCCCTCCTGGGAAAGAATGCGTATTCCATTCCAACAGTCTATCTCTGGGAAATTCGATGTGTAGGTGGGAACCATGGAAATCTGTTTGGTTTAAGTACTCTTATGCAATGTGATGGGTTTCCCCATGTGTCAAACACCCACCTGACGAACTGAAAAACAACAGATACAGCCCAGGGCGCTCTGCAAGTCTGCCTGAAACACGTAGGCTAGGAGATCCTGCCTGAACTGCAGATGGGAATGTGACACTTTTCAACCCTGGGACTTTCTTCACAACAATCCAGCCCCTTTTCCCCTGAAGAAAAGCAAAAGTGCCAAACAAGAAGCTGAAATGTCAATGACTCAATCCTGGCCCAGTTGGTTTACTGATGCTGTAGAAATTGTAGGTGTCTGCCTACGACTGCCAGACGATTCCTGGGGGTGAAAGGCATTATATCAAATGCACAGATTACTATTATTGTTTTGTGAAAGCCAATATAATTATTATAATCCTTGCATTTGATATAGCACAATTCACTTTCTCAGTGCCTGTTGCAATGGCCCCTTTATTTTCGCTCAGCTCAAGTGAATGTAATTTAGTTGATAACAATCTGTCAGTTTCATTTGGCAATAGACTTTCTTAGGTAATCGTTGCCACGTCTACCTGTGTGTGTGTGTGTGAAGGCGAATGTGGCTGATTTTAATTCCTGGTCAGGGCATAGAGAAAAGACTCCTTCTCTTTATTAATCATATCTTTAAAAAACAGCTGAACAGGCACAGACAAGAGCTCAGATTAAATGGTAATCCTTCTGTTTTCCAAATTAAATGGAAATCATAACACCTTTCACATCACAAAGACATCTCAAAGCGCTTTACAGGAATCACTATAAGTTCTAGTTGTAGTTTGTAGGTGAACACTGATTGACAGTTTTTTTTATTACTGACACACACAGAATTACACTGTAATAACACTGAGAACATTAATACTTCATATTATTTCTCTCACAATCTGAGTGCCAACTGACAGCTCAGCATTTTCACTTTGATTTCTGTTTGGTTAAGAGTTTTATTTGATGAGATGTGTCAGAAGGAACCTCAGAAATGTGTACGATTCTAAAGCGGAGCAAGAAAGTGAAACCCACAACAACACCTGCACTGAGACAATAGAACAAGGGGTTTGTAAGTTTACAGTTACAAAGGGACAATCTCCAGACAGACACCAGGAAGTTTCTCTCTACCCAGAGGGTATGTTTGTGGGGACGCTGCTGTGTGCAATTGGCTGCTGTATTTTGCGCACAAAATATACAGTCAATTCACTTTATAGTATATTCTGCAAAGCGCTTAGAACATCTAGAAGACGTGATAAGCTGCTATATCAAATGCAAGGATTATTATTATTATTTACAACTGAGAACAGGTTGTCGGGAAGGGTGGATCAGACCAGATGCTGGAACTCAATGAGAAAGATGTTGTGATGGGAAGATTTTAGGGTGGGTATTCTGGAAGGATGAGAACAAATTAGCCCAATTTGCCGCACTGACCAATTTTCCCCTTCCCCCCAACCTGTCGATTGGATTGTTGGGAGCAACACACCCACATTCATTAACAAAAGCCCTAACATTGTGGTCGCCCCCTCCCTGCCTGGTTACTCAAATCTTCTCTTGTTTATCCCATTTTAACCGAGACGCTACCCTCCTATGTGAAGGTCGCTCTATAAATGCAAGTTGTTGTCTGCGTTGTAACCTAGATAGATAAGCAAAGTGTTGTCAACAGGTTGTGTGGTGCTCGACCACCCTGTGTATTTCAGGGATCGTGTAATTGTTGTTAAGACAACCGCATGTGAGATTGCAACAGAGTTAATCTGTGTTGAAGATCACATTCCACAGTTAATTGTTTACTTGTGCAATTTTTGCGTTCTGTTATTGATAGGGTCGCACCAGATAAAGCTGATTTATGCAGTTTTTCCAAATATTAATTTCCGACATTGAAAAGCAAGCTGTCACTATGTAATATAAAGCAAAGTTCTGTAAATTTAAGAGTACTTTTCTGAGATCCCTTTTCATGGTGTCAAACTGTGATTCCCTTACGTTTTATCAATTCACAATGTATACAAGGACAAAATCCCTTTTGCCATTTACATGGCTTTTTTTGCCTATTAATCCCACATATGGTAAGAATAATCCTTGGTTTGATACCACACCAAATTACCCAAGAAGGTTAACTATATAGCTTCCTCCATTTATTCACCCATTCAGCCTGACTCACTCAGTAATGTTCTTGGCTTTGAGTCAGAAGGTTGTGGGTTGGTTCAAGTCCCCAGACTGGGCCTCTGAGCTTGTGTGTATAGTCTGGGCTGGCCTTCCAGTGCAATGCTGGGAGGAGAGCTTCACTATTAGAGGTGCCACATTCAAAGGAGCTGTAAAAAAACATATTTACCTAGCAGTAACTGAGTGCTGCTAAATTTATAAAGAATAAGTTTTCACACGCAAACATTTTTTTAAAAAAAGGTGCAATAGTTGATCACTTCGTGTTGCTTCAGGCTCTTTTTTTAGGGTAAAGGCTGCACTTCTTAAAAACTTTATCACAGCACAGTTTCCGTCGTCACTTGATAAGTACTCTGCAGTCAACAAGATGGCAATCTCGAATTGATCATTTATTAGATTTTTCCAAATAATGATGGGACTTCTGTCAGACGGTTGCTTTTTGCTAGTGTTAAAAATTCTAATTGTATAATAAGTGTGAGGTGATACACTTAGGTAGGAAAAATGATAGGAGGCAATATAGGCTTGGAGCTCAATCTTAAGGGGAGTGAACGTACAGAGAGATCTGGGTGTTCAAGTAAGCGAATCATTAAAGGTAGCGGGACAGGTAGACAAGGCAGTAAAAAAAGCATTTGGTGTACTGAGCTTTATTAGTAGGGGCATAGAGTATAAGAGTAGGGAAGTTATGGTTAATCTATACAAAACACTGGTCAGGCCTCAGCTGGAGTACTGTTTCCAGTTCTGGGCACCTTACTTCAGGAAGGACATTAAGGCACTGGAAAGGGTGCAGAGGAGATTCACGAGAATTATACCAGGAATGGGGAAGCTTAGCTATGAGGACAGACTGGAGAAGTTAGGACTTTTCCCATTAGAGAAGAGAAGGCTACGCAGGGACCTGATAGAGGTCTTCAAGATTATGAAAGGTTTCGACAGGCGAGATAGGGAAAAGCTGTTTCCGCTGGTAGGTGTGTCTGTGACCCGTGGTCACAGTCTTAAGATATCTACCAAAAGAAGCAGAGAGGAGGTTAGAAGAATTTTCTTCACTCAGCGAGTTGTTGGAATTTGGAATGATCCGCCCGAAAGGGCAGTGAAGTCTGATTCGATAACAGCTTTTAAGAGAGAACTGGATAGGTATCTGGGGAAGACGGGTTTGCAGGGTTTTGGGGAGAAAGCTGGTGATTGGGGTTAGTGAAAGTGACTTGTTCTGTCAAAGAGCCGGCACAGACTCGATGGGCCGAATGGCCTCCTTCTGTGCCATAACATTCTATGAATCTATGAATTGGTTGTCACTATAATTTTTAAAAATAATTCTATAATACAGTAAACCTCACATAAATCATATCAGTTGGCAATTTTATGTGGGGGATTGTTGGCCACCAGGACACCAGCAGAGAGAAACTCCTTTCTCTTTGCGACTCGTGTCACAGGATCTTTAACATCTGCCTCAACAGTCGCAGATAAAACCTTGGTTTAACGTCTCATCCGAGGGATGGCATCTCCGACAATTCAGTACTGCACTGGAGGGTCAGCCCAGACTGTGAGCTCAACCCAAGGTGCTGGCCAGTCAAGGATTTGCACCTGAGTTGGGATCAGGAGGGGGTGGAGGGCACAGAAACTGACCCAGACATGGTTGGACATCACCAATCTTCAAGTTGGCACTTTCCATTAGCTGCCAAGCCATCGCTGGTATTCAGGCCAGGTGGGGGGTGGAGGGGTCAAAAAAAGGAAAAGGTGCCTCCACTTTTCAATCTAGCCAAAGGTAATGTGCTTCCACATTTGTGTTTCTCCCTGTATCTGATCAAAATAATCATCCTTTTGCATTTAACACATTTGTTAGTTTTGCGAAGGCATGTCCAGGAAGCCATGTCACATCCTTCCTGTGTTTAGGAAGTGAGACAACTTCCTGTGCACACCGCTATAACACAAAGGCCCTGCTGTGGGCTACATGCCCTTTTAAGGGATGATGAGAGGAAATGTAATGGAGACAAACTCACACTCCCATCAAGTGAGAAACTTCCCCACCCCCTCCATAAATAACAGATGATAGATACAAGTCTAGCTGACTCTCAAATCAGTAGTCATGAAGCCATGACTTAAGAATGGACCCAATTGTTGTTCCTACATTTCGTGGACAACACAAACTGCTTCTTACATCTTGTGTGGAAGGCTCCTTCTTCTGTGTCTAGCGTTGACAAAGTATAAGATGTTGCGATTGACTTCTGCAGCAATTATTGCGTTCCACGTTCTCCCAACCCTCTGTGTGATGAATCGTTTTTGATCTCTCAACTCTTGGTGTCTCTCGGAACTTCAATCCCTCCCCTCAGCTCGCTCCCATTTTAAAGTTGAATTTAAGACTTTTTCCACAGTTCAGCACCAACTTTCAATTTTGCATTTGAGATTCTTTTCATATAATCATATCATATTTACAGCATAAAAGGAGGCCATTTGGCTCATTGTGTCGTTGCTCAGAATAATAAATAATAAAAATAAGTGCTTTGAGGCATCCACCCGATGTGAATGCTGTATCAAATGTAAGGATTCTGATGAGAGTAAATGTATGAGATGGGGATTTGAGGTCTCTGATCCCTGAACTGTACATAGGTAAAAAGCAACTCATCGCAAGTCTACATCATCTGCTGGAAGCATTATTAGTATTTTATTTTATTTTATTCACCAGAAGACAAACAACTTTAATACAAGATGCAGCATTGAAAAAAAAGTTTAAAAATCCTTACCTATATTATACGAGAACTATGAATATTCCTAGACACATTTCATAAAATGGCTAGTGATTTCACTGAGAACCAAACTCACTCATTGGAGTGTAACATTGAACAGGAACCTTTGTTACTGTAGCATAGATTGGTGCCAAAGTGATTGAATCCAAAACATGTCTGTTGAACCAGACAGACTACATTCAAAAGCCACATCAATTTGCATGCGTGGACTCTTAACCCAGAGTGGCGGCCGACTACAGCAGAAAGGCTCCGAAGTAGGTTTCATGCTCATGCACCGAAACCCTGAAGGCCGGGTCTTTGTAGACTTCGATGTAAAGGCTGTCATTGTTGAACAGCTCGAAGACACCGGCCTGGTAGGTGGAGAACCTCAGATAGCCGTCCGTGTCGGTAGGTGGCCTGACATGGCTTTTCAGCAGCACCTCTGGCTCGGGGTAGTGTCTGGTCCTCTTGTGGATGCAGGCGGAGAACTGGTGAGGGGGCTTAGTGCAGTGGCTCGAGCAGTAGAAAGTTACTTGGGCATAAATAAAATACAAGCCTTTCCTGGGGACCACCAGGTAGCCATTCTGGTCGTACTTCATGCCTAACGTGTTGAAGGCATGGCCCCTCGTGGTCTCGAATAGCAGGCGTCGCGAAATGTTCTGACCACCTGTAACTGGAAACAGAAGCCAAGATTCAGCAAGTCTGAGGGAACATCAAAACATGCAGCTTCTTAAAAGTCAGGTTCAGTGTCAGCCCAGCTCAGATGGTCATGGGTCAGAAGGTGTGGGTTCAATCCCCACGTCCAGGACTTTGAGCTCACAGTCTAGGCTGGTGGAATTCTCGGAGATGCCATCCTTCGGATGAGATGTGAAAACACGGGTCTTGTCTGTGCCCTGTTCAGACAGGCACTTACAATCTCGAGACACTATAGTCGTGGCCAACTATTCCCATGGATGAATCTAACATCCTCTATATAGCTGTTTTGTGGGATTTTGCTGTGTGCAAAGTGGGTGCCGCGTTTTGAAAATTGTTGCACTTGAGCGTACTTGCTTTGGGAAATTTGAAGTGTGTAAAAGGCGCTATTATATTGTAAGTTCTTTCATTCTTGATAAGCAAGTGACTTGACTGCTAAATGGGTCATCAACGGGTCAGTCAATGACGTGAAAATCGAGAGTTATTAGAAACGGATCCAGGCTGCTCTCCTGGTCCCCAAATAACCGATAACCAAGTGACCCAGTTGGCTTTGGCTGGATGATGAAGACCCTTTTGGCCCGTGTGATCTCATCCTTCCAGCCAGTAGCAATTCCGAGTTCCAACTGGAACCATTGCCACTCATCACTCTATGGTTGTAATTTAATTCAAACCAGACACCTTGCTGCAGTAGCAAACATTTTGTTTCCAATAACCATCTGAAGATTAGCTCTTCAGTGAAGCAGGAAAGTTGCAAGATGCGACCGAGTCACAGTTGTAAATCGCTGACTCAGAGATTCCTTTTGTTCTGTGTGTTTTTAATATAACTTTGCAAAGAAAATCAAGCTGTCATCGGCTGCTGATTTCAGAACTCGTTTTGTTTTATAAGCACCAAATCGCCCCAATGAGAGTAAGGCAGGTTCACGCAAAGATTTTTTGCTTTCATATTAATCCATGAAATAGAGATTATAGGGTGATCCCAGTTTGTAAACCAAATTCAGGGACATATATATATAATATATATATATCACGTGGGACATCCTCACAACGTGAAAGGTGCTTTACAGATGTAATTTTGTTGTTATTGTTGTTATCTATATATATATAGATATAAAAACTGAATTCACCACAATTGCTGATCCTGGCAGTTACTGGAGAAATGTGTTGCATTAATGGCTGTGTTTCTTTCTCTGATGAGTATATGTGTTTCAGAATGTTATTGTTCTTGTTCAGTTTGTTCATGAACTCAAGGCGGGGTAAATTTGTCCCCAGGGATACACAATACCTCATTGGAGACTGTCCCCAGAAATGGGGGAGATATGGTCACGCAACCTAATGTGGAGAGAGGGCAACCCTGAACCATGTTATATGTTGGTCCTGGCAACTGGGCATCAGTAATCGGGAGAGGAGAGTGAGAGAAAGAGAGACTGACCTGCGAGTCCAGTGAAATGAGCCACTGGTTTATCGGATTCCGCCACCTGATTCCTGAGTTCAGTCAGACCAAACTGGCAACCTGTAACATTGGCTTGTGTTAACCCAGGAACAACAACTATAATAATAAAGTGACTGTGTATTTTGTTCGGCAAATGCACGGCAGCCAATTTGCGAACAGCAATCTCGCGTTTCTCCCACAAAATATTCAGTCAATCCACTTTACAGTAAATTCTGTGAAGCATTTTGAGGCGTCTTGAAGGTGTGATAAAGCGCTATATCAAATGTATTATTATTGGAGCAACCTTCTGAAAGTGCTAGCGACTGAGCCACCCTAATCTCTATGATATAAAACAAGTTTACACATAAGAGGTACCTTGTTTGCACCTGCATATTTAAACTAGTAGCTTTTCTATGAAATGGTGCAGAAAATCTCTTTGCTAGATACTATCTCACTTCTGTGATCAAGACTAATCATTTAGGTAAATTTTCCAAGAGAAAAATGATTATTTATAATAATAATAATATCTGCATTTGAAACAGTATTGGGAGGACATCACAAAGAAAGATCAACCATGAAGTGTAGTGATTGTGGAGTTTGTAGGACGACCCCTCCAGCCAAATTGACATGCAGCAAGCGTCCTGCAAACAGCCACAGGAAGTGAAAAGCTAACAACTATCTTGATAGCAAGAGAAAACCAAATGCAATTCTCTGAGCCTCTTGAGTTACTTACTGTGAAGCACTTTCAATTCTCCGTAAATCAATTTGGAGGTATTGATATTACTGAGGGTTCCTGCACAGCGACAGTTGAGACACACCCTGAGCCGGGAGTTCATCAAAACCAGTTACTGAACGAATAGTTTTACTGAATCAGAAACAGTGCTGATGATATGTTGCACCAAAACAAGGAACAAAAGCAAGGTAATATTTAATATATATCTATATTTTCCTCCCTTTCTTCTCTCCTGGCACAACACTACTTTGTGCCAATGTTAGTTACAACAATAATAATAATAATCCTTGCATTTGATATAGCACCTTAGCCCGTCATTGAGACGTCTCAAAACGCTTCACAGAATATACTGTAAAATGTGGTGATTGTATATTTTCCACAGGAATGGCAGCCTTTTAGTACCTATATTGGCAAGATTGGGGAGCCTGGGTGGGTAAGATTGCAGGGGTCTGTGCAAGCGGGTGAGTCAATGGGGCTGGGGGAGCGAGCCTGAGGGACATTACATCTAAGCTGATGCCAACCCTCCCAACAGATGAATGTGTTCACGATCGCTCAACGTATAGTGATCAGGAGTAAATGCAAAATTACACTGACCTGACAACCAGACACCAGCGGAATAATTCCAACTCTGCCTTGGTTGGAATTCGCAAATACAGTAAAATCCTGATAACTCATCACTCCCAGGGAAGAGGGCTCAGTGACCAGTTATCAGGAGCGGCGAGTTAGTCAGATGTATAACTACATAAATAAATGCGGCCAGGATATTGACAGCATGATGAATTAAGTTGTGGTGACTAGTTAAGCCAGGGTTGAATTATCAGGAGTTTTCTGGAGCGCTCAATCTCAAAGGCGAAAACACAATCACTCTATCGACAAAGTAGCAATTGTTATTGAATTTATATAAAATACAGCTTTATCGCTTATACTTACAAGGCGCGGTGATGTTCTTTATCTGCACGGCCACTTGTTTATCGATGTGCTTCAAAATAAAAGATACACACAGCGTGTCAAGATGTAACCCTTTGCTGACTTGCGCGTGCGTGAGATTGTGTCATGGTCTGGGTCTTAATCTTTTTCTCTTTCTTGTTAAAAGAAAAGGTGAATCCGTTAGCATGATGGGTAGCACTCTCCTCGCCAGCGAGAGGACCCAGGCTTGATGACCGCGCAGGGCGAAACCTTAGGCAAGTTTTCTTACTCCGCATCGAGCAAAGTAGGAACCCGAGTGTTAATCGATTGGTGGATAGCTTTCTTGGGATAACAATCCCCTCCAAAAAAAAATAATGTGATCACTCAATCCACGGCTGTTTGTGGGGACTCTGTTGTGTGCAATTGGCTGCCATGTTTTGCCCACAACATACACAGTCAATCCACTTTACAGTATATTACTGTGAAGCGCTTTGAGACAGCTCAAAGACATGATAAGGCGCTGTATCAAATGCAAGGATTATTATTATTTTATTTTTATTATTATGTTATTATTAAAAGTGAACAGACTGGAGAAAGAAAGCAAGAAAAATATGCCAAGACTATGAAGAAAATCTCAGTACCTCCTTTTGTAGGTTGACGTAAAAATAGACAAAAGCGCAAACACCAGCAATGGCAACCCACTGCAGCACCACCAGCACCGCGAGAGGGCAGCTGCTGGGTCTCCGGGCTGGAGAGAGCTCGCCTCCATTAAACATCGTGTCGCTCTCTCTGGTCTGCCTGCCGGCTGCTGGGCGTCCGAGTCTTCAACGAGGAAAATAAAACCCACTGGTTATTGGTTTTACCCCCGGGGTCTCTCTTCCTGCCAGTGGTCCCGTCACCTCTTATAAACCGTTTGAGTGTGTGACGTCTCGGAACAATTCATCTAGGACTTCACCTGTCCCCATTGGATAACATTTTATTTGATAATGAGATTAGATAATCTGCAGCCTTGCACCAATGCTGAATGTCTACTGCTATTGATACAATCTTGTGGTGTTCTCCCCCACACCCCACCCTCGCAACCCCCTGCCACACACACACATACACACACACACGACAGTTCCCCCGAGTGTTGGTTTGTTTCTGTGTTGACAGCTTTGATTGACATTAATTAGGAAAAAAGGGGGATTTCCGCTGACAGTCATAATATTACACCGGTTTATCTATCTTCTCCGTGTTGTTATCCACATGGAAGTACCCGGCGTTTGAACCTTGTCTACCTGTTTCCACTGCGAAAGAAACGGACGAGTTAAAGAAAGAGAAGTAATATATTCCGCTCAGCGTTAACTCACCCCGCCTTTGGTGAATGTCGGCAATGCTGGTGGGATTTTATATGTAATCGCACAAAGTACAGTGTGTTCACAAAGTCCTGTTACCCCCATGTTTTGTTTCTACAGTGCACTGACCAATAGCTGAAACATGTGAAAGAATAATAATAATAATAGTCCTTGTATTTGATATAGTGCCTTATCACATCTTCAAGACATCCCAAACCTCTCACAGAATATACTGAAAAGTGAATTGACTGTGTATTTTGTAGGTGAAATGCGGCAGCCAATTGCACACAGCATTGTGGATTGAGTGACCAAATTATTATTTTTCTTAAATGTAAATAAACTCAGGACCTCCTCTTCTTCAACAAGTGACGTTGAGTCACTGAGCTTTGGTCAATGGTGCACGGAGCAGGAGTAAGCCAGAGCATGGCCAGCAGATCAACAACAAAAACACATTACATTTACGTAGAGCCGTTCACGTTAGGAGGACGTCCCAAAACGCTGGACAGTCAGGGGTTTGGACCTGAGCTGGGGGTTAAGTTCAGGAGGAGCGGAGGGCAGGGAGGGTAGGGGTAGGAGGGTGACTGAACGTGCAGTCGAAGAGGAGGGTCTTGAGACAGGTCTTGAAGAAGACAAGAGAGGGAGAAAGGCCAACGCCAGAAGAGATCTAAAACCTTCTTTCTAATCTTCCCGGCACAAATGGTGCAGTTTCCACAAGGTTGTTGTCCTGACCCAGCAACTTGCGATCAACGTTCTTTTTCTTTAAGTTGAATTCCCCCATCAAAAACCCAAAGCCAGATCATCTATGATAAGATCTAAATAATAGGACTGCCCACACTCAATTCAAAGTAGCAATTTGCACTGGGGTCCCAAGAAAGCTGGGCTTCCCTGAACATTTAATATTAAAATTTAGATGCACGCTTGTTTTGTGACAGTGATTGGAATCACTACTGCTTATCTCTGATGCTAAGTGTTCTGTGATGTAACTCTGAAGTCTGTTGTCTGTGTCTGTCTGTCTGAGTTACTCTATATAGAGAAAGAGAAGGGAGCTTCTCATTCCCGGTGTCCTGGCCAACAATTCTCCCCTCCCGCCACACATACACACAAATAAAATTGGCTATTCACTTTGTGGCTGTTTGTGGGATGTGTGGTGGGAACATTGCCTGTCAGGTTTGCCTACAAATATGCACTCACTGCCCTTTACAGTAAAATCCTGTGAAGTGCTTTTTTTTGTTTTGGTCATAATAATAATCCTTGCACTTGATAGAGCACCTTATGACATCTTTGAGACGTCTCAAAGCGCTTCACAGAGTATACTGTAAAGTGTAGTGACTGTGTATTTTGTAGGCGAAACGCAGCAGCCAATTGTGTGCAGCAGAGTTCCACAAACAGTCGTAGATAGAACTGACCAAATTATTGTTATTTTTTTAAGGGTTTTTGGACGTCCTCCCAACGTGAAAGGTGCTCTATCAATGTAATTTTGTTGTTGTAGTTGTTGGGATTGTTGCCCCTGGAAAAGTGATCCGACAATCGACTAACAAGCAGGTTCCTACTTACTGCTTGTTGTACAGAGGTAAACAGAGGTGTGTGGCATAAGGAAACCTGCCCAACGTTTCGCCCTGCCCAGGAATTAAACTCAGGTCCTCTCGCTTGCAAGGCAAGTGCTCTAACCACTAAACTACAGAACTCCACATGCGGAAACCCATCACCGTGCTTAATCCACAACCAAACTGAGAATGCCATACATCCCACCTATACATGGAAATCCCAGAGGTGAATTACTTTCCCTATCCTTCAGTACAAGATCCTGGTCCTCACCTACCAAGCCCTCCATGGCCTCACCCCACCCTACCTCTGCGACCTCCTAATCCCCTACCAACCCTCCCGCTCCCTCCGCTCAGCCGGCTCTGGTCTGCTCCATATCCCCCGACCCACCCACCCCACTATTGGTGGGAGAGCCTTTAGCCACTCTGGCCCCAATCTCTGGAATTCCATCCCCCAATCATTCCGCTTCGCCCCCTCCTTAGCTTCCTTCAAGTCCCGCCTCAAGACCCTCCTCTTCAACCATGCCATCGGTCACCCCCCCTTCCTCACCCCTCCCCACTCCCCCCTGACCCCAGCTCAGGTCTGAAATGCTGTCACTGTCCAGCGCCTTGGGACGTCCTCCCGACGTGAAAGGCACTGTACGCATGTTATCTTGTTATTATTATATCTCAACGATTATTGCATATTGTAATCATCTTCAGGATTAGGTAAACAAATGTAAGTGCGTTCCTCTGGAGTAAGAGTGTGGAATCCATTCAAACATATGGGAATTTCCATGTATTGGTGGCATTCCATCGGAACCCTCCGTCTGGTTTGGCTGCTCTTAAGCACGAGGAAGGAATTTTCCACGGCTGCTCAGTGAGACCCAAAAGAAAAGTTAAGAAAGATCCGAACACTGTTTGATGAAAAACAGTTTATTTACGATCTGCCTTGATCATTTCTGATGTACCATTCGGAACTGTATTTCTCTGCTGGTCGGATTAGCAACACATACCGATGATGTATAGATCAGTCGGTGCCTGAGGCAAGTTTCTATTTTAAGGAATGAAGAAGTTGGAATGAGGCCCCTTTTGTTCTGACTGAGATCCCAGGATGAGATCATAACAACCCTACTTAGAACAAGGTATACATGAAAAGGTACCTCCATTGTATGACACTGAGCAGCCCATGGCTTCCCACTGTTGTCTCATGTCATTCGTACTTGCACTTTCATTGGAAGAAAAAGATGTGTAAAATTCACAGGAATTAGACAAAAGAAACTCAAGATGAAAGCTAAGCCCATTTTGTTAGTTTTGACGCCCACATCCTCACCCACACGAAACTCCACAGTACCGTCACTCCCTGCCCTGCCCAGGCTCCCCCTCACTTACGACCTCTAATTCTTTCCCTAATATTTCTCTATCTCTCTGATCTTCTCCACCCTTCTCTCTCTCTCTCTGGTGTTCTCCCATTCAAATCTCACGCTCGGGGCCCCCACATTTGGCAAATGCCGACTTCTTTCATGTCAACCTGCTCACCTTCCTTTGCTCCACAATCAGTGGTCTATAGCCTCTACCCTTCCCAACCTCGGGTACTCCCTCCCTCTTCCCTTGCATCTCACCCCCTCTCTCTATCCATCTTTAAATACCACTGCTTTGCCCCACCCCTTCAGTGTATAGCGCTCCGAGATGTTACGCTGAGTGAGGGGCACCGTAACCATATTTAATAAATATCTCTCAGTGGCTCTCTATTCACATGCGCTCAGTGTTAATCCGCCGGGAGAGCTATTTCCACTGGTCAGGGAGTCAGTGAGCAGGGAGATAGTTATAAGATAGTCACAAAAAGAGCAAAAGGAGATTTTAGGATTTTTTTTACACTCAGTTGTTGTGATGTGGAACACCATGCTAAGTAAGATGGTAGAGGATTTTGAGAAGAAGAAACTTCCTTCTCTGAAACCTCTGAGACGTCCGCCTGACGTGAAAGGTGCCACATCAAATGTAAGGATCGTCAGTAACATTATGATGTAATCTCAGCTACCGTGGCCTTTTGGGGTCCAGATTCCTCTGTTCTCACGCAGTCCCCAAATCCACTCGCTGAACATGTACACTGCACGCTGTGGTTTCCCTTTAAAAGTCAAGCAAACAAAAGCAGATAAGTCCTGTTTCAGTGTTTACGCAGCAGCAAAAGGTGACCCTTGTGTGTGGGATGGGGGAGTTACATTAATGAAATGACAATAACAGTCAGGAAACAAGTCACTGGGGTCAGCCACATTGAGCAATTGATTTGCAGATCCAATTTGGTCGATAACGCCCACTCTCATAACAATTCTTTTTAAAAAATAGCCCCAAACACAGTGCCCAGTCAAGCGTTGCACAGACTGGACCCTGGTTCAACATCTCATCCAAAGGATAACACCTCAAACAATGTAACGCTCCCCACAGCATTGTATTGCACAATCAGACCACACTGTGAGTTCAAATTCCTGACTTGGGAACTCAAGTCCATAACCTTCTGACTCAAAGGCAAGACTCAAGGGCTACCAACTGGGCCAGGCTGACTTGTGCCAAGATGGGGCTCTCTTACAAGGTAAAAGACAAGTGAGGTAGGATTTATAATAATAATATTTATTATAATAAATAACAATCCTTGCATTTGATAAAGTGCCTTATCACATCGTCGAGACAACTCAAAGCACTTCACAGGATACACAGTAAAATGAATTGACTGTATATTTTGTGGGTGAAACACGGCAGCCAATTGCGCACAGCAGCATCCCACAAACAGTCATGGATTGAGTGACCATATCATTATTTTTTTTAGACAATTATTATCTCCGGAAAGGTGATCCGCCAATCGTAACAAGCAGGTTCCTACTTACTGCTATGTAAATAGAGGTGTGTGGAGTAAGGAAACTTGCCTAAGGTTTCACCCTCCCCGGGAATCAAACTCAGGTCCTCTTGCTTGTGAAGTGAGTGCTCTAACCACTGAGCTGCAGGACTCCAAACAACATGTGAAACACTATTTAATGCCTTTGTAGATATGAATGCTTTGGATTACAAATGAAATCATCTGTTACAAATTCACTGTCCAATGTGAGAGGGAGAAGGGTAAAGACCGTCTGCTTTCTCCAGGGTTTCCCACAAAAAGATCCCGAAGAAGATTTTATTTATGTCAATGCTCAGATAGGTCGGGTCGGAAACCTGCACAAAGAGTTGGTCTCCCTGGTCGAACATGAACATTCCTCCGATGTGGCTGGTTTGGAGCCAGATGTCGGTGGCTGCACTCTGACACCGGACGGTCCTACTGACCAGAGTGACCGGCCCTGAGCCCGAGCCTGGCCGGGGGGTTCTCTTGATGACATGGCTGATCAGATGGTTGTCCTGCGTGCAGCCCCGACTACCCAAGTAGACCTGAGAGTACACGTAATACTGGCCAGCCACCGGCACAACCAACGTGCCGTTTCGGTAAATAAGTCCATTTTTGGTGAAAGCCAAGCCAATCTTGCTCTCCCATTCCATGTGCTGGAGATTACTTCCACTTGAATTTTTGACTGTAACAATAACAATAATATTAATAATAATCCTTATCTTTGATACAGCACCTAGCATATCTGGAGACCATCTCAAAGTGCTCCACCAGGACATACCGTAAAGTGTAGTGACAGCATGTTTGTAGGTGAATGTGGCAGCTTATATGCAGATAGAAATATCCCACAAACAGCCATGGAATGAGTGACCAATTTGGGGGATTGTTGGCCAGGACACCGGGAGAGAGAAACTCCCTTCTCTTTTCAAACTGTGCCTTGGCATCTTTAGCGACCACCTGAACAGGCAAACGGGGCCTCATCTGAAGGACGGCACCTCCAACAATGCAGCGCTCCTCCCAGCACTACATTGGAGGGACTGTGAACTCAAAATCCCTACACGGGGCTTGAATCCACAACCTTCTGACTTAAGAGGTGAGAGTGCTAGCGACTGAGCCAAGCTGTCACCCCACAGTAGACCAGAAAAGTTGCCTTGGAAAACAATTTGCCAGCACTGTGCTTAAGAGTATCCAAACCAAGCTGAGAATTCCATGTCTCCCACCTCCACATGGAAATCCCAGAGATAGATTATTGGGATGGAATGTGCTCTCTCTCTCTCTCTCCCTGGAGGGACACATCCTGCTGACCTAATTCTGCAATGTATTAGGTGTAGGTTGGCGAGAGCCCAGGCTTGGGGACCCCAGGGGCACTGTGTCTAGGCTGATTCTTTAGAAACGGCGAAATGTGCACAGCCCCTGGATGTCAGACTTACCGGTCAGATGTGCAGCTGGCCTTGCAGAGCAAGGTGGAATGGGATGGAAAGCTTAAAAAGACAAGAGAAATATTTAATCATCTCACTTATCACTTATCTCAAAAATCACACCAGTTAAACTAAGCTCACAAAAAATTTACGTCTTTGGTTTGTTTACAAATTTATATTCATTGCTTGTTGACTGATCAGCGAGTGACGTGGGTTTGGAGCTGAGGTGTCTGTGCTTGTTGGCTCCCAGGCATGTAGAGACGGTTGTTGTGACGTTACACCCCTGGGAGTTTATTACTATACAAATGCAACTTTTGATGATACAGTGTCTTATCATGCATCGAAAATCAGGAAGGCAGGGGGGCACGATTTTTACGAACCCCCAAAGCACCGCATTATAGAGGGGGTCAGATTGTGTTAAGAAAGACAATTGCCTTTTGTTTCGGGAGAAACTGGAGGGGTTTGGGTTAAATGGTGGGAGTGGAGAGAGAGAGAGAGAGGGAGGGGCAGTGAAACACACAAACCCTGCACTGTGCACAAGCTCCCTATTTATATATAGGGAAAAAAACACATGTCACAAAATGCATTGGACAAAAATCAATTGCCAGAAAGTTTTATAAATGTATCAGTAACAGTCCTCTTACCTTTCAGAAATGAACTGTCAGCTTCTTCGACTTCCTCAACCTAGGCAATTGTGAAAGAGAGAGAAACCCAGCGTTTTATTCATTGGATCGGTGGGGCAGTTTGCTAAAAACCAAGTAAGGAAGGTTTGAATGGAACTGCCACCAAGTTAAAAGAGATGACATTTACCAGAGTTAGAGCATTGCCGGCTCCTCTTCTGTTGACCAAACCACGTAGAAGCAAAGCTGCTGAGAGCAAGGCCCCGACTACACACACACCACAGGACCAGCTCCAGGGCGAATACACCGCTACTTTTTCTGTTCCTTTCATCTTCAGAGAGAGAGAGAGAGATTTTGGCCACTTTCTTTCACTCTGGAGCTTACAAAAAAACAACCACCCCCATCCCACCACCAGAAAACCCCCTTCCCGATAAGAAATACAAGCAGAAAACTACGACAAGGGAAACATTGTGAGTGATTTGCTGTTGAATGCTGTACGTGTGTGTGTGGCAACCGCTATGACAAGGGTTTTACTGAATAGGGACTTTCCACTTAATCTCAATTAGTTTTTCTTTTGTTAACCATCTCCTTCCCCCCCACCCTCCATGTAAACGCTAATCTACTTTTTCATCCAATCTGGGAGAAAGGGAGGAAAAACACAAATATAAATTAACTTTTCTTTAAAAGTTTCTGAACAGTTTATTTGTCGAATGTAACTTTATTTCTCTCTCTCTCTCTCTCCTACCCCCAACCCCGCCAAAGATACAACAACAACAAATGAAATTTATACAGTGCCTTTCACATTGGGAGGACGTCCCAAGTCGCTGGACAGTCAGGATATGAACCTGATTTCTTTGTGGTCAGCCGGGGTGTCTGACAATGTTTAAGAGTTTCCCAACCAGGCTGAGAATTCCCTGCCTCCCACCTACACATGGAAATCCCAGAGATCGATTGTTGTAATGAATATGCATTCTCTCTCCAGAGGGACACCTTCTGCCCACCCAGTACATATGAACCTGACATACTTACACAGTACACTTAGATCAACCATATTAAAAAAAGCAAGGATTATTATTAGTCAATTTTGGTTTGTTTTTAGTTCTGCTTTGCTGTCAGGAGAGGCCACCGTTCGAGAAAAGGGGGAAATGAAAAGTGAAGGCAAGAGAGATTGTGTTTTTCTATATATAGAAAGCAACTCTTTACCTGGCAAACTCCCAGCTGTATGTGAAGCAAACTCATACTAATGTTTCCTCACACCTACACCCATTGCTCACTCTCAGCTCTGACAAATCTTCACCACTGCCAAAAGTTGCTACCTACATCTAATGTAATACAATAAACAGATGTGGAATTGTGTGATGCAATTGTGCACAAACGATGTGATAAGACGCTATATCAAATGCACTCATTATTACTATTATTGAATGCAAGAATTATAATCATAATAATAATCCTTGAATTCGATTCAGCGTCTTATCACGTTATTGAGATGTCTCAAAACGCTTCAAAAGATATACTGTAAAGTGGATTGACTGTGTTTTTCTTTGATGGAATTCAACAGCCAGTTTGCGCACAGCAATGTCCCACAAACACACACAGACATACGCACAGCTGTGAACCGAGTGACCAATTCTATTTGGGAGATTATCAGCCAGGACACTGGGAGAAACTCCATTCTATTTTCTAATAGTGCCACGGCATCTTTAATATTCACCTTAACAGGAAGACGGAACATTGGTTTAACGTCTCATCCGAAGGACAGCACTTCTGAAAATGTGGCACTCCCCAGCATTGCATTAGATTATCAACTCAGATTATGTTAGTCAAAATCCTGACGTGGAGGCTTGAACCCACTGCCTTCTGACTCAGAGACCAGCGTGCTACCACTGCTCCATACTGATGCTAGGATTATTTAATTATCCTTTGTTTAACTTCCTGGATGTTAACAGGAGAGTTCTCAGAATTCTTCACAGTGAATATTTCTGAGCGTCTTGGCTGAAGTTTCCGATGAATCATTGTATAAAGGCCAGGCAAACTGCTTTCTGCCAAATCAATCTCAACAACATGGCCCTCCCCCCTACTAGACTTCTGTAAAACATGAGCAGCCCCAAGGAGTAAGACTGATGTCAGCTGGTATTTCTTCACAAGTGGGTGCATAGGGAGTTAAACTGGAATTTAGCAGAGGCTGGGACTCACAATCTGTAAAAGGGAAGGCTTGAATTTCTAATGGAGCGAGGTAGGGAGGATATTCATGCACAATGAATATTTGAGTAATAATAGTAATATTAAATAATAATGAAATATTCTCCCATTCCCTTCCTCTTCCTATTTCCTTTCCCCATTCCCTATTTATGGAGTCCTGTAGCTCAATGGTTAGAGCACTCGCCTCGCAAGTGAGAGACATGGGTTTGATTCCCGGCAGGGTGAAACGTGGGGCAAGTTTCCTTACTCCACGCATCTCTGTTCACCTGGGAGTAAGTAGGAACCCAGTTGTTAGTTGATTGGCATATCGCTTTTCTGCTTGATCATCTGCTAAATTGATCATCTGCTAAATTGATCATCTGCTAAATTGATCTGTTCGTTCCCTGGATGTAACAGTTGTCAATGCTATTACTAATGGTAAAGCAACAGCTGAAGCCAGCGAGTTCCTTGTGGTATAAGTAAATATACTGGACAGGAAACCAAAACAGGCTGCACAGCACATTAATGATATTGCTCACTGAAAACATCCTCCCAAATGTTGCAATTTGTAATCTTTAAGTAATATACAAGGATTGCGAGATCAACTGCGGGGATAATTCCTGACTTAATGTTAACAGTTTTAAGAGAAAGGAATTTCTCTCACCCAGGTTCATGTTTCACATTGGGGAGGGCTTCACACAATCCTAGCGTAAGGCGTAGTGACTGTGTATTTGTAGGCAAAGGCGCCAGCCATATTTGCACACAGCAACGTGCCACAAAAATCCATGAAGTGATTGGCCCATTCTATTTGGGAGCAGTGGCAGATTGGCTCCCTGAAAAGCCTCCAGATTTTCAGAGCAATGATTGGCTGGTTCGGGCTGTCACTCACCTGGATGTTGGGCTCTGGGGTGGGAGGTCTCGAGAGCCAAGCTCAGAAAACTTTCCAAAGGCTTGTCACTTTGTCACCAGGAGAGAAAAACAACTTGTTTAATTCTCCATTTAAACTTCTGCGTTTACAATCGTACACTGAAATGAAGAAGTGAAAGTTTTGCTATTAATGCTTGTATCATCTGGGACGCAACAATGGAAAAGGCAAATGATGTAATTTTAATCCAGGGAGTTCCTCTTTTAAGTACCTGACACAAAAATAATCACTCAAGTTATTCCTTAATTGACTCCTTTCATGTCACGCCCAAGGTCATGAAACTTTCTTCACATGGAAGGTGATTTGTGAGAACATGGAATGCCCTACACTAGAAAGCGTGATGGGGAGTTGAATTGTGTAAAATATAGACACAGACAGAGACTTGGCAAGCACTGTGGAGATAGTAAGAGGTTTGGTGAAAGGGAGAGACATTGGGATTAAAGGATCTATCAAAATCTAGTGAACTGTGGAACAGATTTGATGAGTTGAATATGATATTTGACATAGCGCCTTTCATGTCTTAAAGTGCTTCACAGGATACTGTGTAAAGTGGAGGTGTAGAGCCTGATGTGCCGGTAGGTGTAGAATGCAAATTGGTTTCCATGTGCGTTCTGTCGGAAAACATTATCTTTAGCTGCAAGGCCATCGATTTGAACACCTTGTAAACTGTGTAGCGAGTTTCACCTGCGGGTGGGTGTCTGTGGGGATCTCCAAGGGCTAGAGGCACTTATCAGTGGAAAGTGCCAGGTGTCAACTCTCTCTGGGGGAAGGTGACTTCCGAAGGCAAAGCTCCAGATTTCGACTGCAATGCAGGGCTGCAGTGATGCTTGCTGATTCGCAACGAAAGGGAGTGAGTGAATTACAACAGATCTGAATCAACAATCATAACAAGAAAAACACTAATACAACGAACAAAAGCTGTGTTATTTCTCAGTAAAAAATTGCTGGATCTGGATGTGATAAACTGGGATATGCCTCCATCATGCAAAGATTGTAGTAAACTGGGTCTGGATTGCTTGTCTCTCGGTTTCCTTGAGGCACAGAAACCTTCCTTTTTTTTAAAAAGCTGAATGTATTTTGTTTTTAAAACAAAAAAACGTATCTTTTGGTGCAATTTAATAACAATACTCAATGAGGAGCTCTCTCAGACCCCTGGTACTGGCACCTCATTAGCATTTAAATCAGTACTGGGCATGACCTCCAGGATGGTGGAAGGTGAACTGAATCATCTTCTTTCGGCAGCGAATTTTTATGTTCTTGAGGTAGAAATTGGAAGATGGGACTTTATCTTTTTTTATTTTATCTCGGTCACGCTCACTTTCTGATTCTGCACTGCCCACTGCTTTGGTCGATATTACTGATCTTTAGTGTGTGTTCAAACTTACAATTAAGTCGAGAAGGGGCTTACTCACTGCACAGCACAGGGTTTTTTTTTAACCGAGGGTTAGCTATTTGAGAGTTCACCATTTAACCTGCTGACAGCCCCAGAAAAGTGTCACTCGTCTCAAATGAGTCGGAAATGAATAATCGCCACATCCGGGAAAGGAATTATTTTATTTAGAAACAAAAAAATTGTGTTATTTGTCAAATCAGTAGCAGCTCTTGAGTTTCAGCAGCGAGTGAGATCATGGATTTTACTCATACTTTAATTTTTGTTTTACCCCAACCATCATGTCCCAATTAAAACACGGTGGTAACTGTGTGTTTTGAAAAATTCTGATCAGTCTTTTCCTAACGCTAAACTCTTGCTTCCAGAGGAATTGGTGTTGCATTGTGACAATTGACAAATGAGCAAATATATATATATTGTAATGATTTGATTTCTTCTCATGGATTGAACTAGCTACTTTAATTGTTTACCCACAATTAGAGCCAGGAAGGCCATAGTTACAAAGCTTTGCTGGAAGCACAACTTCAAACTCTTAAGACTTTGAATATTGTTTCTACTGAGCCTGAGAATGATGTACGTCAGCACATAGATACAGAGAAATTCCTTGCTCAAGGGACAGAGTTTGGTTCTATGGTAGCATAATGGTAGCACGTCCTTTACAACATGCTAGATTAAAAAGGGTTAAGTAAGAAACAAAACTTTGATCTATGTACTTCCAAATATATGTATGGCGGAAATCATCATAGCTGCTGAAACTTTCTTAGACACTAAAATAGAAACATTTTCTACTTTACAGTCATCTGACAGTCATTGCACAGCTGTGACTTGACAAGGGAATGATTGTGTGAAACAAATGAATCATAAAAAAAGACAAGAGAGAAAAAAAAAGGTTGAAAACGGCTCTGATCTTTAGCAAAATATTGCTCCTTCCTCATTCGGATCTTGGAGTCTGATAGCTTAGTGGTTAGAACACTGACCTCACAAGCGAAAGGACTCGGGTTCGATTCCCGGGCAGGGTGAAACCATGGGCAAGTTTCCTTACTTCATATACCTCTGTTTACCCAGCGTTAAGTAGGAAACTGCTTGTTAGTCAATTGGTGGATTGTTTTCTGAGGGTAATAATCCCTCAAAAAAAATTGGTCACTCAATCCAAGACTGTTTGTGGGACATTGCTGTGCGCAATTGACTGATAAATTTCGGCCACAGTCACTATACTTTACAGTGTATTGTGTGAAGCGCTTTGAGACGTCCCAACGATGTGAAAAGGCACTTTTATCAAATCAAGGATTATTATTATTATCTCAGGTGTCCAGCACCACCTCTTGAGTCAGGAAATGATGGCTGTGGACTTTGAGGTTCCAGTGGGGGCAAAGCTGTATTGTCCTTCAATTGAACCAAGACTGAAGGCCCGTCTGCTTGTTCAGGCAGATGTTAAAGATTCCATGAAGCCATTCAAAAAGGAGAAGGGAATTTCTTCCGTTGTCTTGGCCGACAATTCCCCCAGACCAACAGAAATTGCTTATTGACATAGGGCAGTTTGTGGGACATTGCTGTTCGCAAACTTGCTCTTACAAACCTATAGTGACTGCACTTAACAGAAACACTGCGAAGCTTCACAAGCAATTATACCTAATGCAAGGTTTATTTTTTATGATTTAAATAGATGAGCAAAAAAAACATTAGAAATACAACAACAACTTTTTATACAGCGTCCCTGACGTAGGTAGCATCCCAGAGTACTTGAAATAGCCAATACAATAGACTGGTATAACAAATTAACAAGTAATCTCACAGATTTTGCAGGCTCCCGAATCTTTATAACGATTCAATATGATAAACATTAATCATTCAAAAAAACATACATTTCGAATGCATTACCAGATAGACACATGACATCAACAGGAAAGTTTTAATATAAAACAGTTGGCATAAACTCCACAGGTTATACACAATGAACAGATCACCATGTAGCAGATCAATGATTACTGAGCGTACAGATCAGGTGTGTGTGTGCGTGTATGTGTGTATCTCCCCTTTTCTGACCTTTAAGGTGTATATATGTGAGTATAGACACAGGAGGAGAACAGATCAAACAACCAATCTTCAATTTAACATCACCCGCTCAGCTAAAAGCTAATCGTTTTATTTATCATTGCAAAATGAGCTCTTGACTGCACAAATGACCCATGAGCATTTTACATTGCACAGCAATGCAGTTCGGTGTCATCCAATTGAGAACTTTAACTGAAGCCACTTTACCGTGTTCGCCTCATACCAGTGTTTAGCCCAGGACTAACCTGGAACCCTAGCGGGTTAGGGTGGACCTGGCGGGAATAGCAGTGAGAAAGCTTGTCAGACAGTGATTTCAATGACGGTTTTTAGCTGGTTTTTAGTTTTTAGTTTTTAGCTCCAGCAATTACGACCCCAGTGCCCCACACACTCAGCACACTTTCTGGTGTCCCCAAGTTTCGGTTCTTGCTAAAACTTGCCAATACGTAATCAGGGTGCGTCCAGGGTGTGGGGGAGAGCCTGCATTCCATTATAGATGCAGGAATTTCTATGTGTGGGTGGTGCACATGACAGCTCTCGGTCTGGTTTGGATGCGCTTTAAAGCAAGATGAAGGATTTCCACGTTTCAGACTTAGACCCCAGCTGACAGATTTTGGTGGTAAATCAACCAAATCCATGAGCGAACTCGCTCACTTGTATTCACCACAAGAGACAGTTCATAGTTATTATGCTGTACTGACTTCTCACAAGGAAAAACAGGTGAATATCAATGTAAGAAGTAAATTGTTATAAATATATCATACGGTTTCTTGTCTGTTTACTGCTGACAGTGCAATCCTTGATGACGGATATCAAAGATAGGGCTTGGGGGGGGAAGGGACGATAGAAGGAGGGGGAATCTGTGTGGTGTTGACCTAACGTGAAAGTAATATCATGGATCAGTTTAAATTGCAAAAGGAAAAGGAAAGTTGCCTTCTGCCGTTCATTTAACTCCCACCCTCTCTCCCTCTCTCACTAACCACTGAATCCATCGCTGATCGATCAGACGGACAGACAATCACAGTAAAAAGGCACCGAAAAAGGTTTTATGTTCATTGGTGTGGTCCACGAGTGCCACGCTGCTCACGTTCACCATCAGCCGGTCACCTTTCTCCAGTTGGATCATTGCCCCCAGGTAGATGGGCACCGACCATTTATAGTCAGACTTTTCTGAGATGGTTTGGGTCGAGCTCAGCAGCTTCATGGGCTCAGGGTAACTGGGTGTCAGCTTGGTGACGATGTGGATAATCTTCTCACATCTCTGGTTCTCCAGCCCTCTGAACAAGACCTGCGAGTAGACAAAATAGAACCCGGTTTGGGGGATGAGCAGAAACTTGTTCTGGTAACTGAGGTCTCCCTTGGTGAAAGCGAGTCCGTGGCGATCCTCCCACCCCAGGGCTGGGTAATCGCCATCTGTCATGTCGTTGGACTCCACTGTTTTAACTGAAATCGAAAGAAAAAAAAAATTGGCACAAATTGATCAAAGTCTGTCCATCGACAGAAAAAAAGACTTTCAAGAAACATAAGAATTTGCTGGACGAAAGAAGACCAAGCTCCAACTAGTTTGCCTTCCGCCATCCTGGCAGCCGCTTGCACATGTCGTGTCCTAACCTCCATACACTATATCTCATGGTTTTAATTCCGAACAGAAATCTATCTAATTTGCTTTTGAAAGAATCCACACTTTCTGCTTCCACCGTCTCTCTCCCGAGGGAGCCTGTTCCGTGCATTTATCACTTGCTCACTGAAATGTTTTCGCAGATTTGTTTACAATTTACCACACACGCGCACACACACGTACACACACATATACATATACACACACACACGCACACAGTTAGGGATTAGTTGAAATCAATATAAGGGCAAACAAGGAGTTTCTTACCAGTCAGGTGGGCTCTGGGCTTATCCTTAGCTTCTCCTGCAAGAGGATATCACAGGAGCACTAGTTAACACTAAAGCCCACAATATACACAGATACTCCACTTTACAATGATGATAATCAATAATCCTTGCATTTGATATTGCGCCTTATCATGTCATTGAGAAGTTTCAAAGCGCTTCGCAGAATATACTGTAAAGTGTCCATAAAACCAACCTTTGCAATATACACTGTGATGCATTGACTGTGTATTTTGTGGGCGAAATGCAGCAGCCAATTGTGCACAGCAGCGTCCCACAAACAGTCGAACAATATATCCCATGGATCGCTTTCAGACATCTCGACAGCACAAAAGGCGCTTTACCAAATGAAAGGATTATTATTATTAATAAACCATTAAGACACAAAGCACTGTAAACATGGAACAAAAGAAAGGTTGTTGAATACTTACCAATAATTTTATTAGGTGAAATCTGTCGTTCCTCCTGAAATCACAACAATATAACTTTAGTTTTTACTAATTTTTTACGCACACACAGACACACACAAAATGAAACTCGTATTTTAACACCGGCACGAGAAAGAAAAGCATTACTGGTTTAAATCATTTTACTCTTATTGCTCTTCGAAGTGAGAATTTTTTAAAAAAATAAAAATAGTGATTTGGTCACTCAACCCACAGCTGTTTGTGGGACAGACGCTGCTGTGCACAATTGGCTGCTGCGTTTCGCCCACAAAATACAGTCAATTCACTTTACAGAGATTCCTGTGAAGCCCTTCGCGACGTCTTGAAGACGTAGTAAGGCATTATATCAAATGCAAGGATTATTATTATTAGAAAGAAAGAAAGAAAGAAAGAAAGAAAGAAAGAAAGAAAGAAAGAAAGAAAGAAAGAAAGAAAAGTCCAGCTAAAGCTTGAAATAGGTGAAATAGAACAAAACCAAAAAAAACGCCTGAGAGGGAGGAAGAGAGGGGGAGAGGAAGTGGAAGACAGAGAGGAAGAGACATAATAATAATAATAATAATAATCCTCGCATTTGATATAGCGCTTTTCACGTCAGGAGGACGTCCCAAAGCGCTTCACAGAACACACTGTAAAGTGAATTGACTGTATATTTGTGGGCGAACGCGGCAGCCAATTGCGCACAGCAATGTCCCACAAACAGTCGTAGATTGAAAATGACCAATTTAATTATTGGTTTTGGTTTTGGAGGATTATTATTAGGCTCTGTGTGGAGTGAGGAAACTTGCCCAAGGTTTCCCGGCCGTGAATTGATCTCAGGTCTCTTCACTTGCAAAGCGAGTGCTCTAACCACTGAGCTACAGGACTCCACCAATAGGGAGGGAATTACTTGTATCTATGTATATATATATAAAGAAATCTTACAACAAAATAACAAAAATGAAAGGGAAACAATCAATCAATCAGAATCAATCAGCCGCGGGCACAGGGTGGGGTGGGGGTGGGTTACCTGACTCGGCGCTGTGTGGTGGAGGAGTAGGTAAGTGCTGACAAGTGACACGAGAAGCAGCGACAGCGCAGAGCAGCTCAGCGCCAGACGAGAGGATCCGCTCCTGGTGGGAGATCCCAGTGTCTCCCTCTGTCCCTCCTCCATCCGCGCCGCCTCGGCGGCGTTAGCACCAGCGACCATGGCTACTTGTGCAGGAAAACCTCTGTCTGCGTCTCTGTCTGTCTCTGTGTCCCTGTCTGTCTCTGTGTCCCTGTCTGTCTGTCTGTCTTCCTGTGGGTGCCCCGCTCTGTCCTGTCCCGGTGCCGCTTGTGGCAGTCGCGGCGCCTCCCGCTGTATATACACTGAGCCTCTCACAGGCAGCGGTGACGTGAGGAGGTCCCGGACCAGGGAAAGCCGCCCACGGGGTGAAACTCGAAACAGCCTCCTGAGCCGTGTTCGTGTCTGTCCCAGGACAGCAGTGTGGAAACCCCCTCTCCCTCTCCTCCCCTCTCTCCCTCTCCTCCCTCTCCCTCCCCTCCTCCCTCTCCCTCCCCTCCTCCCCTCTCCCCCTCTCCCTCTCCCCCTCCCCCTCTCCCCCTCTCCCCTCTCTCCCCTCCCCTCCTCCCCTCCCCTCCCCCTCTCCCCTCTCCCTCTCCCTCTCCCCCTCTCCCCTCTCCCTCCCCTCCCCCTCTCCCTCTCCCCCTCCCCCTCTCCCTCTCCCCTCTCCCTCTCCCGGCCTCCAACAGGAACCACCGGGTCAGCGCGTAAATACGCACACTGGCACAGACACACACACACACTTGGGCACACACACACTGGCACAGACACACACACTGGCACAGACACACACTGGCACAGACACACACATTGGCACACACACACTGGCACAGACACACACATTGGCACGGACAAACACACACACAGGGACACATACACGGACACACACACTGGTACACAGACGGATACGCACACACAGGGACACACACACAGGGATATGCACACAGAGGGATACAGACACATGGACACATGTACATATACACACACACACACACACAAACACATGCGCCACTCACTCAAACAAACAAACATACTTTGAAATTCTTCCTTTAGTCTGTTTGTGAAATTATATGCTCACTTTAGCAACTTTCCCTCTCTCTCTCTTTCCCTCCTCCCGATACCGGGCCTGATCTCATTGTGTTGTCTCCCACTTCCTCTTCTTTATCCAAGATCCGTTTTTTAAATATTCAAATATCGGTTTTGGTTTTATTTTATTTTGACATTTGGATGTCAGTTTGTGTCTGAGTCACAGACAAGGTTTAGCTGTAACTGTTTGTGGGGACGCTGCTGTGTGTCATTGGACAGTCTTCGCCCCCAAAATACAATCACTCCACTTTACAGTGTATCCTGTGAAGCGCTTTGAGACGTCTTGAGGACATGATAAGACTCTGGGTCAAATGCCTGGATTATTAGTATTATTATTATTGTTGTACTGCCTACACCGTGATTTCATTGGGTGCAACATTTATATTTTGAGACACATGAAATACTCTGTATTTCAGTGCAGTTTCTAGCACTTCTTCCTCTTGTTGGTGTGTGAGAGCGCCACCTCACGATGATCGACCGGTTGAAGACTGAGTGAAGATTGGCTTTCGTGGCAGTCACTGGGTCAGAAGCTTATAAATAATATTCCTTGCATTTGATATAGCGCTTTTCACGTCGGGAGGACGTCCCAAAGCGCTTCACAGAACACACTGTAAAGTGAATTGACTGTATATTTGTGGGCGAACGCGGCAGCCAATTGCGCACAGCAATGTCCCACAAACAGTCGTAGATTGAAAATGACCAATTTTTTTTTAATTATTGTTTTTAGTTTTTGGAGGGATTATTATTAGGTGTGTGGAGTAAGGAAACTTGCCCAAGGTTTCGCCCTCTGCCTGGAATTGAACTCAGGTCTCTCACTTGCAAAGCGAGTGCTCTAACCACTGAGCTACAGGACTCCACGATGGGTTGCAGCCCCATGTTATAACTTTGAGCTGATAGTCTAGGCTGATATTTGGGTTAGGGTTAACGTCTCCTGCGGTTAAAGGCGCTAAACCCAAGTCATTTTGTTGTTGTTGATACTCTGGGAGGTGGAGAGCACTGCATTGTTGGAGATGCCATCCTTCAGGTGAGACATCATCTGCCTGTTCAGAAGGACTTTATAGGTTCCTTAGCATCACTGTATTAGAGTACTGCTGTGCTGGGGGGGCTGGAGGGGCTGCGGGAGGTGGAGGGCAGGGGAGCCTGGGGGCGGTGGGGGGGCTGCGGGGCTGTGGGTTTGGGAGGTTGGGGGCCTGTGGAACTCAGTTCCTTAAAAGGACTGTTAATGCGGAATCGGTGGGGATGTTTAAGAGGGAAGTAAATACATGTGTTATCAGGGGTACAGAGAAAAGGCAGACAAATGGTACTGAGTTACAGCTCAGCCAAGATCTACATAGCATTAACCTGCGTTATGAACAATTGGAATCCTGTAGCGTAGAGGTTAGAGCACTCGCCTTGCAAGCGCGAGGACCCTGGTTTAATTCCCTGGCAAGGCAAAACCTTACACACCTTTCCTTGCTCCACACGTCTCTGTTTATCTAGCAGTAAATAGAAACCCGGTTGTTAGTCGAATGGCGGATCCCTTTTCCGGGGTTAATAAACTCTTCAAACCATTTTGGTAAACAATTTGGTCACTCAATCCATGACTGTTTGTGGCTGTTGAGTTTCGGCCACAAAATACACAGTCAATTCACTTTACAGTATATTCTGCGAAGCGCTTTGAGACGTTTCGAAGTTGTGATAAGGTGCTATATTAAATGCAAGGATTATTATTATTATTAAATATTAATGTTCTCTTTATTCCAGGCATTAACGAACAACCTCAGCATCGAAACTGATGTGTATAAATTTTGGTCATTTGTATAAATTCACTTATAAATTTTCGGTTAAGCATCTAAATAAATAAATCAATGAGCTGAGATACTGACAGCAGTCTCAATGACGTGATGAGGCGCTATATGAAATGCAAGGAATATTATTAACAAAGTGGGCTGAATGGCTTCCTTCTGTGCTATAAGATTCTATAGATTCGACCATAGCTTTCAAAAGGGAATTGAATAGGTACTTAAAAATGAAAAATATGCCATACAACAACAACAACAAGATTACATTTGTATAGCGCCTTTCACGTTGGGAGGACGTCCCAAGGCGCTGGACAGTGACAGCATTTCAGACCCGAGCTGGGGTCGGGGTGGGGAGAAGGGTTGTCTGTACGTATTGTACCTGGAACGTTTTACCCAGATTGAGATCTTGCTAATTGAAATTCAAATCCTCACCTAATCTACAGATTGCACCAGAGTTCCCGTTGGCAAACTTTCAAAAGCCTGTGGTTAAACTTTTCTCCTTCACGTCGCACACAAACAGGTTTAGACTGGACGGAAATTTCTGCTATGTAATCTTGTCAGCTAGAGGAGGGAAGGCAGAGTTGGGGGTGGAGCGTAAAGCAGTGTAGAATGGAACATGGTAAATAAATGACAGGCCACTTTTTTTAAAAGAGGATGGCACTGTCATCGCTGTCAGATGACGTCAGGGCTGGGCTGAGCAGGAAATGACGGCTCTCTTCATGATTAGAACAAAGATCACAAGATAGCTTGGATGAAGTCAAACGGCCCTTCGGCCCGTTTGATCTCAGTTTAATTTTTTTTAAATATTGCCAAAATGCAATCCCACAAAATGCCCAGTCACCACACTTTAGAGTAAATCCTGGGAGGCGCTTTGAGGAGCCCTCAAGACAATAAAGACGCAACGATTATTATCATAAGATCAGCTTGGATCCGTACAAATAAATACTTCCTGGAGTCTGTCCTTAAAATTGCCCCGTTGTGAGTGTGAAATTGTATCCTCTTGTGCCATCTCAACCTTAATATATACCCAATTCTGGAAAATCCTAGCTTTCGGTCTTATTTGTTTTAAGAGTTGTGTAAAACCGCCACCAAAACTGAGACTAGATTTGAGATTTTTGTTTTGTTTTCAAATACTGCCTTGGTGCGTCGGCTCTTTGTGCTTTGGCCTGGAGACAAGAGAGAGAGAGAGAGAGAGAGAGGGGATGGTTGCTGTTTGTGTGTTAGGCACTTGGCTGACCAAAAACCAAGCAATACTCAGACTCTCCTAATATCAAAACTAACTTTTCGACCACCTACCCAACCCACAGCTTCCCCTTCCCCCACCTCGCACTCTCTGTCAGTTCTGTGACACATTCTAAGATGTGGAGTCCTGTAACTCCATGATTAGAGCACTCGACTCACAAGCGAGAGACCTGGGTTCGATTCCCGGCAGAGCGAAACCTTGGCCAAGTTTCCTTACTCCACTTCCTTACTCCAGTCAATTCACTTTACAGTCTATTCTGTGAAGTGCTTTGAGACGTCTAGAAGACGTGAAAAGCGCTATATCAAATGCAAGGATTATTATTATTATTATTATTATGTCTTTCCGGCATCTTAATGTAAATTGCAATCATGACTTCATCTGATTTAGGACATTGGTGCTTGTTCTCAGCACATGAATATTATAATAATCTTTGCATTTGATGACAGCCCTTATCGCCATCAAGACGTTTCAAAGGGTTTTGTGATGTAATGTTGACTGTATTTTGTGGGCGAAACGTGGCAGCCAATTCGCACACAGCAATTTCCCACAAACAGCCATGAAGTGAGTGACCAATTTTATTTGGGGTGTGGAGCGGGGTGGGGGGGGTTATTGGAAGAGGGGAATTCCCTTCTCTTTTCAAATAGTGTCAACAGATCTTTAACATCCGCTCATGAGCGGCAGACGGGAGCTCGTCTGAAGATCAACACCTCCAACAATGCAGTGTGGCGTTAGTTGCATACTCGTGATTCATTCCATTCTTTAAACTTAGTGTAGTTTGACCTTTATTTCTCTCAGCAACGTCTGGGCAGTCCCAATGTGACATACCTTTGGCTCATTGCGAAGATGCTTTAATATTATTGTGAATAAAAGAAGTGACTGAGACACCTCTCCTGCCCTTTGAGAGAACACCCCCTCCATAGGCTGTTTGAAAACATGATCCATTGTGAACTGTAACCTAATCCGTTTTTACCACAAGGGCAGAAATTTGTGCAAGTCCCAGCTCTCTCTTCAAGACCAGAACAAACCAACTCCAGAGGACACAACTCCCAGCATTCAAACACTCAAATGTCAAGTTCATCAAGTAATCATTCCGTATGTAACAGGTAAATTAATACGACATTAAAGTAAACATTAACACTGTATATTTAGCCCTGTTTTTTCGGATAGAGCCCAGACTCCAACCCTGAAATTAATATGAATGACTAAATAAACTCAGGGGAGCTTCAGGAAGGTGGGTGATGTGACTAACTTTGGGACTACATTTTAGTTGCACAAACTGCCATAATCCACAATTTTCAAATCCCCACAAATAATTCTAACTTAAATCGGTACAAT